TACTTAATCTGGCTAAGATAGTAAGATATATCCACCTTTTTACCCAGTACAACCTTGCCATTAAGACCAGAAGTGATATAATAAATATTTTTAGCTTTCGTCCCTGGTCCCCCAACCGCTGATCTCTGGAGAGGGGAGAGGGACTGGAGATTAATTCAGTCATTCTTGCATTCTTGGCATATCCAACAATATGTGTGGGAATACAAGAGACTCATAGAGGAGTCTTCCTACAGATATGCTCTGTGAAACTACCAGTGTCACATTCATGCCAATGAACAACACTAAAGAAAAAAAAAGTGGATTAAATAATTCCAAGTAAAGAAGAGACTCTCTTGAAATGAGAAAAATTGCTTCCTTAATTCATTCTTCCTTTTCAGTATCTTCTGCCTAGGGTTTTTAAACCACAAAATAAGGCATTTATTTCTTTAGGATCTATCATTTTCTTCTAAAATCATAAAAGCCATCTTTCATAGTCCTTTGATGACTTAATTCCCTTTTCTTCTTAGATAGTCTCCTGAAAGAAAACAATATGGTTATTATTTGACCATATTATTTACTGATGAACAGTAAATAGTAACAACATGATTCATTCACAATAATAACAATATGATTCATTCATTTATTCCATAAAAATTTGTGAGTGACTACCATATACTAGGCACTGTGTTAAGTACTTGTAGATACAAGGATGACTGGATAGTTAAGACCCAGTCCCTGACTTCATGGAGTTCATTGTCTGTTTGGGGAGACAATGTCTATTGTCTATTATATGTTCCTAGAATCTTCCACAATAAAAATTTTATTTCCCAAAATTTCTATAGTTATGCATAATTTCTGATAGAGAAAAATACAATTAAAACTCTTATAGATATATCTCATAGCTATAATTTCCGAGTTCTACATTAGATCTTTATTTATAAATGTAGACACAGAAGGGGAATCCACTAGACACCAAGAAGCCAGCTGCCTGGCTCACAGTGATTTCTTTTTCTGTAGAAGGCCCTTTTATAGAGGATGGCCCCCAGCAGCTACATCTCTGCTTTTTTAGCTTGCCCTCCCCACCTCCTATCCCCAGCTGACTGATAGAAGGGTAATGAATATGATCTGAGACTTGTCAGATCAGGGTTCTAAAAGAAACTAAGAGGATGCAAGGCTTGACCATGGCGCCATGAGGAAAGGAGGCAGTTTGCAATGGGAGGTAACAAAGCTGACGCTCCTAGGAGGAAAGACTGGAGGAGGATTCATTGTTCAAGTCCCTGGAGTCCATTTTTCCTGTGACTCAGCTGGTTTGACTGCATTACTTGCAGTCAGAAGACTTTACTACCACAGCAAAGAAAGACAGGCATTGGGAACAAACTTACCCAACTTCTCTGTGGCTTCCACACAGACACTGGGATACATGCCTTCAGAGTAAGTTGCCACCAGAAGATACAGATGGGTCTTCACAACAATCACACCAGTGTTTTCCTGGATAAAAATAAAACAGAATTCTCTTCTCTTGATTTTAACAACAGGACTAGCAGTTACCCTCCAGCCACACTTTTCACCATTTCCTGACTCATATTCACGTTTGTTTTTGGATGATCTTACTTTTTTCACTAGTTTAGTTGTGTTTCCTTAAAAAGTTTCAGACTATTGTAATAACAGCATATGTATTCTGAAAAAGCTCTCAAATTGGTTGTAGTATTTCCCTGTCCTGATTAGATCAACAGATGTCATGGAAAGGAAATATATTTTGGAATTAGATCACTCTGGGCTTGAATCCCAGCACCTCCATTTTCTGCTATCACTGTGGAAGAGTTATTGAACCTTCTTAAGCCTCAGTTTCCTCATCTGTAAATGAGGTTACTTAGTGTATAATGTGGGTGAAGTGTGCCTAAGCCATAATACAGGGCAACCAGAAATACGACCATCATCCCCTTGTTATAGGCAACATCGAACCAACAGTTGTTTTAAGCACAAGAGTAATACCACTTCTTTAAAAGAAGGATAATATCGAGTATGAGAGATGAACTGCAGTGGAGAGAGACAGTTCAGGCAATATTCAGTTGATAAAATCCAGAATGAATGGTTCTCAAAACCAGGCTCTGTTAGTACTTTCCTTAACATATGCCTTCATGGCACTAGACTGCTGCTATCTCAGATACTGCCACTGCAGTAACAGGCTTAGTCTGTTTTAAAGATAGGATCAGGAGAGGCATAGAAAACTTGGAGTCAAACTCAGAAGTTTTTACCAGTTGTCTTCATGTCTTGAACACTCACATTCTTGGCATAAAGAGAATAGTCATCTGCCCGGACACATTTGTAGTCCTTCTCCTTGAAATACAGTCCTTCTCTTCTGGTTTTCAAAGGGTTCTTGGCAAACCCATTTACAAGTGTTCGGACATCACTGGGCATGACCTACAGAGGTTAAACAGACTAGAAATAGGCAAACGATGGGGAAGTGGCCAAATTTGCCCCACTACCAGTTTTCTTAGGCCTATGAGCTAACAATGGTTTTTACATTTTTAAAAAGTTGAAAAAAATAATATTTTGCAATATGTAAAAACTACATGAAATTCAGATTTCAGGGTTCATAAAGTTTTATTGGAATGTTATCACTCCCTTTCCTTTATGTATTATCTATGGCCTTTTTACAGAAGAAGACTTAAACTCTTACACCAAACTTGTTTTTTTTCTTACACTAAATCCTGGTGATGCTACACATAGGCTTCGCTCCTGGAGTTTGATGAGGGCTGCACTGTCCACATGCTTTGTTCCCAGGAGTGTATCTAACAGTAAGTTCTGCAAATGGCTCATGCTCCCTCAGTTCTGAAAAAAAGGGAACTGTAGTTGAAATCATCTGCTCTAACTAGCTTTTAAAAGATGTCCCCAAGACATTCAGAACAGCTTTAATATCAACAGCTTTAACTGAAAAGATGCAGAGTGAAAATGGTGGTCCACCATCCGGTGCCCACCAGTACTAAAAAGAGGAGAACAGAATCACAGAAAATCAGTTCACACAGAGGGTTTTGAGTTTGGAAATTTACAGCTTATAATTTTTTCTATGTTTTTTGTTTTGTTTATGTTATGTTTATGTTTTGTTTTCTATGTTTTGTTTTCTATGGTTTGTTTCAGAATCACCTAGGATTAAAACAAACTAGAAACCTGACCAAATGGAGAACTACTGAAGTAAACAAGACTAAATGAGATATGCCAGTCATTCAGTCCTCACGTTCTTTTCCCTCTGACCAGCATCAGCACCATGGACACTGGTCAATACCTCAGGCTAAAAACACTTGGTGGCTCAGACATAAAAGAATCCACCTGCAATGCGGGAGACATGGGTTCAATTCCTGGGTTGGGAAGATCCCCTGGAGGAGGGCATGGCAACCCACTCCGGTAATTCTTGCCTGGAGAATCCCCATGGACAGAGAAGCCTGGCGGGCTACAGTCCATGGGGTCGCGAAGAGTCGGACACGACTGGGCGACCAAGCACAGCCCACAAAAACACCTTACGGAACCTAGGGCGACATTTTTCCTACAAGTTTCCAAGTCTTCTTGGACGGTCCTCATAGGGGACAAGTTCTGCAAACACTCGTCCTTCCAGGAGATCCTAAGGGCAGGCGCCCCTAGCCCGCCACTCCCATCGTGGTGATTTGGCCCTCGAGAGTTCCCCGGAGCGGAGTTACTGAGGGAGAGGGAGGGGGTTTAAATCCGGTCTGGTTGTCGGGGTGGGGGTGGGGTGGGGGGGGAAGACGCACAGGAGGCACTGAGGGCTTGGGGAATCGCGGCGGGGACAGACCTACTAAAGCCAGCAGCCTCGGAAAGGAGCCCAGCGCTCGACCGAGGCCTGGCTTGAGGCGCAGACGGCCGTCAACGGACGCAGGGGAAGGCGGGGCGAGAGGACGACGAGCCCAGCTACTGGCTGTGGCGGCTGCCCATCACCGAGAAGCGCTCTAGCTTCGCCCGCAAAGCAGGACCTACCGGCGGGCGCGGGCGCTACTGCTTACCAGGTTCCCTCCCAGCCTGACGCGGCCGCGGGAAACGCACTTGTGCGCGGCTCGGGGACGCAGGGGTCGCCGCGTCGGAGGTGTTGTGGGGCGGGGGGAGGGGGGCAGTTCCTATCGAATCACTGGACGCAGAACGTTCTCGTCTACCAAGGCGACGGCCTCGAGCTGATTGGGCCGCAGGTGCGGCGGGCTCTCCCGCCTAAGCCGACCGCTCTGGCACTGTAGGCTGTCGGGTCTGGCTCTCGCGTGATGCAGAGGAGCCGAAGGCTCTGCCAGTTTTGAGGGGAGCTGTCAGTTTTGAGGTACCAGTGGCGGCCATTCAACTTCTACGCGGCGGAGGCCGCTTGCACCTTGCTCGCCCGGTAGGAGTGAAGGGGCGGGGTCGTGCGTGTTGTAGGTTCTACCAGGGACACAGGCTTCTTATGACAGCTTCTCCGGCACCGGCGGGCGCGGGGGGCTCGGAGGGGAGCAGTTTGAGCCTTTTAGAGCTTGAAGACCAGCAAATTTTGTTCAAAAGCCCTTCCTTCCTTCTCTAAGAGGCCTATCCTGTGTGTGTGCTTCAGGAGCCAGAAAGCTGCCGCTTTCCCGTTCTGAAAGCTGCGGTTTCGGAAAGCTGCACACGCGCCTCCTTGAGGCCAGGCTGAGAATTGCTGCACCGGCTCGATTGAGCAATGTTGTGGGAAGCCTGGCTTCTCAGGGGGCTCCGCTCGTCGGTCCAGATGGAGCTCTGCTTAAAGAAGGCAGACTCGGAAGACATCAGCAGAAGCTTGTGGACAGACTCTGAAAAAAGGGAACTGCAGTTGGAGTAATCTTCTCTGGCTAGCTTTTAAAAGGCCTGTGAATACAAATGTCCCCTCTCACTTTAGGAAAAACATGATGTCTAATGTTCAGAATCTGTTTCATGTCCATCTGTGGTCACAAATATTAATTAGAAAATACACGTGAATGCTCGTTACTAAGGAAGCTTATTTTTTAGTTTTTCTAGGGAATCTGTTATTTGTTACCACAATGAAAAGTTATGAGAATGATCTGATAACTGACAAGCTTCCCAAGCTCAAGAGCTCAAGAGAATGGTTGGAGCCACAGCCACTTTCTTTTATGGAGGTATCATAGTCATGGCATTTTAAAGTTTATATTTGGGTAGTTGCATTGAAAAGTGGCTTGTGCTAAATATATTATTTTTCTGTTTTCTGTTTCATTCTGCTCTTTATTATCCCCTTCTTTCTATTAACTATTTTCTCTGCTCTTCATTTTCCAATTTCTTAAGGTGGAATAATGTCACTGGTTACATACCTTTTTAATAAAGTTACAACGTTTCTCCTGAAGCATTACTTTAGCTACATCACCCAAATTTATTTATGTCGTGGGGTTTTTTTGTTTCGATTATTTCTTTTTTTTCTACACAGCTTTATTAAGATATACTTGATATATAATGAATTGCATATATTTAAAGTGTACAATTTGGTAAAATTTGAGCTATGTATTCATGCATGAAACCATCACCACAGTCGAGACAGCAAACATATTCAGTACTCCCAAAGTGTCTTCATTGTGTCCCTTTTTAAGCGCCCTCCCCCTCCACTTTCTATCACTTTAGTTTATTTTGCATTTGAATTTTTTGTACAAATGTGATCTTAAGGTATGTATTATTTTTGTGTGGCTCAGTATAATTTGTGATTCTTCCATGTTGTTTCATGTATCAGTACTTCATTCTTTTTTGTTACTGTTGAATGCTATATACCCTAGTTTGTACATCCTGTTGTTGCATATTTGGACTAACAGTTTTTGGCTATTACAAGTAAAGCTGTTAGAAACATTCACATACATATCTTTGTAGGGACATGTGTTTCATTACTCTTGGGTAAATATCTAGTTGTGGAATGCCTAGGTCATATGGTAAATGAAATTTAACATTTTATGAAACTGCCAAACTGTTTTCCAAAGTTATTTTATATTTCCACTAGCAGTGTATGGGAGTTCCAGTGTTTTACAGCCTAGCCAGTATTTGGTATTTGGTTACAGTCTTTGTGTGTGTGTATAGTCTTTAATTTGAGACGTTCTAAGCAGTTCCATTCCTTAGGTCATACAGTAATTTTGTGTTTAACTTTTTGAGGAATTGCCTGCTTCCCACAGTGACTGTACTATTTTACATTCTCATCAGCAACATATGAAGGTTCCAATTTCTCTACTGTTTAGAGTTCACTGAACCTCTGGTATCAGTGGGCATATAGTTCCCAACACATTTGGAAAACTCTCAGCCATTCCTTCTTCAAATAGTTTTCTATCCCACCTCTCTCCTTTCGGGAAATAAAATTACACTTTTAATCACCTGCTTGAAAGCTATCTCATCTATCCCATAGCCCACTGATTACCTGTTAATTTTTTTCAGACTTTTCCTTCCTGTGTTTCATTTTGGACAGCTTTTGTTCTTATGATTTTGTTTACTAATCTTTTCTTTTGGAATATCCAGTCTTCTTTTAAGCTTGTCTGTGTATTTTTCATTTCAGACATTGTAGTTTTCATCCTTAAAGTTTTTAGGGGGTCTTTTAAAAACTCTTCACCATCTCAGAATGTCTGCTGTTTCTTCTAGTTTCCTAAACTTGGTTCAGGACAGTCACTCAGTCATGTTCGACTCTTTATGACCCCGTGGACTGCAGCAGTCCAGGCCTCCCTGTCCATCACCAACTCCCAGAGCTTGCTCAAACTCATGTCCATCGACTCGGTAATGCCATCCAACCATCTCATCCTTTGTTGTCCCCTTCTCCTCCTGCCTTCAATCTCTCCCATCATCAGGGTCTTTTCAAATGAGTCAGTTCTTTGCATCAAGTGGCCAAGCATTGGAGTTTTAGCTTCCGCATCAGTCCTTCCAATGAATATTCAGAACTGATTTCCTTCAGGATTGAATGCTTTGGTCTGCTTGCAGGCCAAGGGACTCTAAAGAGTCTTCTCCAACACCACAGTTCAAAAGCATCAATTCTTCGGAGCTCAGCTTTCTATATAGTCCAGCTCTCACATCCATACATAACTACTGGAAAAAGCATAGCTTTGACTAAACAGACCTTTGTCGGTAAAGTAATGTCTTTGCTTTTTAATATGCTGTCTAGGTTTGTCATAGCTTTTCTTCTAGAGAGCAAGGGTCTTTTAATTTTGTGGCTGCAGTCATCATCTGCAGCGATTTTGGAGCCCAAGAAGATAAAGTCTGTTTCTGTTTCCATTGTTTCCCCATCTATTTGCCATGAAGTGATGGGACTGGATGCCATGATCTTCATTTTTTGAATGTTGAGTTTTTTTTTTAACAACTGATTATCGATTTATTAAAAAGGTTGATTTAGGCATCGGCAATGGTGACTTCCACCTCGACTCCTGGCTCAATACTGATGGACGTGATCTGCTTGACGGTTTCAGAAAGGCTGTGCAGGTCAATGAGTCGCTTGTGGATCTTCATTTGGAATCGATCCAAGTCTTAGAACCTTCACCACAAGGAGTTTTCCTTGTAGTTATTCTCAGAGTCTTGGTAGGCATCTGGACTGGTCCTTTCACTTTGAGATTCTTTTCCTTCGAGCCTCTGATCAGGTCAGCACACACCTTCTCCAGAGACTTCACGTTGCAGCTGGTGAGGGTGATCCTAATCCGGTGAATGGCCACCTCTGGCTCCATGGGAGTCTTGCCGGTGTCTTTAAAGGCCATGGCTGCGGTGCGGCTTCCTGACCGACTTGTTCCTCGGCAAGAGAGAACAGCAGTGAGTCAGGAACAAGAGTGGGCGGCACTGAGCTCCGCTGCAGTGGCGACTGTGTCTTCCTCAAAGAGTGAATGTTGAGTTTTAAGCCACCTTTTCCACTCTCCTCTTTCACTTTAATCAAGAGGCTCTTTAGTTCTTCACTTTCTGCCATAAGGGTGGTATCATCTGCATATCTGAGGTTATTGATATTTCTTCCTGCAATCTTGATTCCAGCTTGTGCTTCATCCAGTTGGGCATTTCGCATGATGTACTCTGCATATAAGTTAAATAAGTAAGGTGACAGTGTATAGTCTTGAAGTACTCCTTTCCTAGTTTGAAACCAGTTGGTTCCAATTTGGAGCCAACCTTTTCCAATTTTGAACTTATGAACTATTTTAATGTCTTGGTCTAATAATTATATTATCTGTGTCATTTCTGAGGTAGTTTTTATTTTTATTTTTATTTTTAAAATTTTTTATTTTATTTATTTTAAAAGTTTTATTAACTTATTTATTTTTGGCTTCCCTGAGTCCTTGTTGCTCTACCGGGGCTTTTTCTAGTTGCAGCAAGTGGAGACTATTTTTCAGTTGTGGTGCATGGGTTTCTTATTGTGGTGGCTTCTCTTGTTGCAGAGCATGGGCTCTAGGGCCTGTGGGCTTTAGTAGTTGTGGCCTACAGGCTTAGTTGCCCTGCAGCAGTGGAATGTTTCCAGACCAGGGATCAAACTTGTGCCCCCTGCATTGCAAGACAGACTCTCAACCACTGGGCCACCGGGGAAGCCCTCTGGGGTAGTTTTGATTGATTCTTCTTTTCATTATTAGTCAAATTTTCCTGCTTCTTTGTATGCTTGGTGATTTTTTAAATTGGATACCAGGCATTGTGAATTTTTTCTTGTTGAGTGCTGGATATTTTTTATTTTCAATAAAAGCTCTTAGCTTCGTTCTGGGATGCAGTTAAGTTACTCAGACTTTTTTTAAATGTCTTGCCGCCAAGCTTTGTTAGGTAGAACTGTATTGGCACTTAGTGTGTGGCTAGTTTTGCTGCAGTAAGAGTAAAACTACTCGTGAGTTTTAACTCTATGCTTTGCATATCATAAAGTTTTTCACTCTGGCTGATTGTTAAGAGGAATAACTCCTGGGGTCTGTGACCTCTAGGGATTGTTTCCCTAATCCTTTCAGGTACTTCTTTGCACAGTGTTTCTTTGAGTAGTTTCCCCATATGCATACAGTGGTCAGGGCTTCCCTGGTGGCTCAGAAGGTAAAGAATTCGCCTGCAATGTGGGAGACCTGGGTTCGGTCCCTGGTCTGGGAAGATCCCCTGGAGGAGGGCATGGCAACCCACTACAGTCTTCTTGACTATAGAATCCCATGGACAGAGGAACCTGGGGGTGCTACAGTCCATGAGGTCTCAAAGAGTCAGACATGACTGAGCGACTTAAGCACAGCACAGCATACAGTGTTCAGCATTCACCTGAAGTCTCAAGGGGGACACTGTACAGATCTAATCATCTGCAGATCCCCAAAACTCTTTCTCTCTGTGACTTTCTTTCCTCTGGTACTGTGCTCTATGAACTGTAGCTACTCTGGCCTTTCCAGACTCCCAAACGCCCTTCCTCATTTCAGTAATTTCCTCCTTTCTGCACCACAGTCTGGAAATTCTCTCCAGGCACTAATGAGCTAGTTTAGGATTTACCTTGTTTTATGTATCTCAGGGGCCACTGTCCTTCATAGCCTGATATCCAGTGTCTCTCACTATATTTTTTTAAGGTAAGAGGGTAAATCTGTTCCCTACTATTCTGTCTGAAAGTAGTGGTTTTCATCCCAGCCATTATTTATTTAGAATTCCAGTTATCAACTTGTCCAACCTTTTGCTGTTGTCTCATAACTCACTGCAACTTTATTCATTTTCCAGTCTTATTCCTGTTTTTCAGACTGGATAAATTCTAATGATTTGAATTCAGGTTCACTGACTCTTTTAAAGTCATATTCAATCTGCTATTAAGCCATTTAAGTTTTTTTGTTTTTAATTTAAGAACTATATTTTTCACTCATGTATTTTTCATTCTTTTTCTGCTGACATTTTTCTATTCATTCTGAGCATATTTTCCTTTAACTTCTTAAACATAGCTATAACAGTTGACCTAGAATCCTTATCTGCTCATTTCAACATATGGGCCATCTCAGAGTTGATTTCCATTAGATTGTTTTTCTTTTTGAAGTATAGGTCCCTTTTTGCTGTTCAGTCTAGTGACTTTGAACATTATGAATGCTATATTTTAAAGGGTCTGGAATCTGTCATGTTCCTCTGATCAATATTTAACTTTTGTTTTAGCAGGCAGTTAACTTGGCTGAATATGAACTCTAAACTTTGTTTCTCCTGCAGTTGGCAGCAAATGAAATCGCTGTTTAGTTTTTTTTTAGCTTTAGCTGGGCTGCATGGAGTTGTTGTTGTTTTTTTTGGTGCCTTCTCCGTAGAGATGTTTTTTATTTGCTATGTTGTGTCCAGCTCTTTCTTGGAGAAAGCAATGGCACCCCACTCCAGTACTCTTGCCTGGAGAATCCCATGGATGGAGGAGCCTGGTAGGCTGCAGTCCATGGGGTCGCTAAGAGTTGGACACGACTGAGCGACTTCACTTTCATTTTTCACTTTCATGCATTGGAGAAGGAAATGGCAACCCACTCCAGTATTCTTGCCTGAAGAATCCCAGGGACGGGGGAGCCTGGTGGGCTGCTGTCTGTGGAGTCACACAGAGTCGGACACGACTGAAGTGACTTAGTAGTAGCAGCAGTAGTCCAACTCTTTTGTGACCACATGGACTGCAGCCTGCCAGGCTCCTCTGTCCATGGGATTTTCCAGGCAAGAATACTGGAGTGGGTTGCCATTTCCTTCTCCAGGGGAATCTTCCTGACCCAGGGATTGAACTCAGGTCTCCTGCACTACAGGCAGATTCTTTGCCACTGAGCCACCAGGGAAGCCCATAGATGACTAAGTGTAATCAAGTAAAATTCATTAATGAGTAAATGAATTCCATTAGAGGCCTGATTGTATCATTTTATAGGATGTGAAAAAAGATGGGTACCATGTGACTTTGGGCAAGTCATTTGACCATGTTGGGAGTCAAAATGTCTGTGATCTGTTATTTTTTTTCCCTAGAGTGAAATGTAGCTGAGAGTGGAAAGATTCAAATACTCTTTAAAAAGTACTTGATGATATGATTTGAGGTAGAAAAATTGGGATTTACAGAGAACTTCCCAGGGATATATAGGTCACATAAAATATTAATCTAGGTAGTATTAATAATTTAATTTTTAATACTTGATTTTCAAAATTTTGTTTTATCATTTTAGGTATTAGCTAAGGAAGATGTTGATGCAGCTATTCAATCAATATTATATAGAGAAAATTATATAATTAAGGTAAGAATTGGCTACAAAATGTGTCTCAGTTAAAAATTAAATTTTGTTTTTCTATTTTAGATGTAGTGCCATGTCATTATGGAAACACTCCTTAGCCTTTAGGATTGACCTTGAAAGAACTCTGAGATTGCTTTAATTTACTTCTTCACTTTCTATACTTTGTGGGGATTCTTTTATAGATACCTTATGAGAGTTTCCTCCTATTCACTTGTTTCTTCATTTTAGTGGGACTTCTAGGAATCCCTGTCTATTTTTAAGAGCTGTTATTGGAACACACTGATGAATTATTACTCAGGAATACCTAGGTAAGGACAAGGCTTTAACTGTAGCAGGATGGGCTTAATTATAAGACAAGATGAATGTCCATGTGACGTGTACTAAACTCTGGAGTGGGCAGCCTATTTTTGTTTTTAAGAATTTTCTTTGGAGTTTAAAAAGGAAAGGAATTATTCACTGAGAATGGTAGAGATGTGCTATGACCTGAAGTTATGGAGGGATATTACCTGGAAAAGGTCTCAGGGTTTTTAGTACTTTATTTTTTTCATTAGAAATTTCATGTTGTTGATCCTAGTAATCACATGATTTCATTTGCTAGGTGAAAGGTGTATAAGAAGTTTTGTTGAGAATGATTTAGTTTTATAGCCTGATTTAGGCATTTTCTTTGCAGGCTACTTGCCATTTGTACCAGATTATGCTACAGTTCTGCCTTCTTACTCTTGTCTTTTTTTTCCTGGCCACACCGAGCAGCTTATGGGATCTTAGTTCCCTGCCCAGGGACTGGACATGCACCCCACTGCAGTAGAAGTGCAGAGTCTTCACCACTGGATGGCCAGGGCAGTCGAAAATAACTGTTCTTTAAGGTCTATTTAAGTGTCTGCCAATTTGGAAATCTTTTAAAAATTTTATTGGAACTCTTATGGTGGCCCAGTGTTAAGACTCCATACTCTCAATGCAGGGCACATGGGCTCTATCCCTGGTTGGGGAACTAACTAAGATCCTGCATGCTGCACAGTGTGACCAAAAAAAAGAAAAAAAGTTGATTATTTTTCTATTGTAGTAAAATACATGTAACATAAAATTTACTTTTTAAACCATTTTTGAATGTATAATTCAGTGACATTAGTTACATTGATATGTTGTACAATTGTCACCATTATCTATTTCTAAAACTTTTCCATCACCCCAAACAAAACTTAGTTCTTATTAAGCAGTAACTCCCCATCCCTCCTTCTGCAAGCCTCTGGTGACCTCTGGTTTATTTTCTGTCTCTCTGAGTTTGCCTAATCTAGTTATTTCATATAAGTGGAATCCTAAAATATTTGTCCTTTTGTATCTGGCATATTTCAGTTAGTATATTGTTTTTAAGGTTCATCCATGTTGTAGCATGTGTCAGAATTTCACTCCTTCTTATAGTTGTATAATATTCCATCATTTGTATATATCACATTTTGTTTATATTTTTATCTGTTGATGGACACTGAAGTTATTGCCACCTCTTGGCTACTGTAATGATGCAGTGACCACTGAGCCCCATATATCTCTTGCTACATTGTTCCTCCTCCCATTGTTTTGTAGATTTCTTTTGTAGTCTGTCCTCCAGGGAGAGCAGGTATATTATCTAATTTTGTCATGTATTCTGTTTCCAATATTGTGTGTGTCACGCATCAAAAGCCAACGTAGTGATTTAATTAATGGGTACTTTTGTGAATTATTCTTATGAATATAAATTAAATTTAAATTTTGGAACAAGAAAACTAAGATAATATATTTGTCTTTCCTATCACTGTTTACTAGGAATTAGATAAGTGTTTAAAACATCATGACTTCTTAAATGCAAGAAGAAAAGAGATATTGTATAAGAGATGGGTTGACCATGTGGCAGATCCTCTCCAGAAGAAAATTATAGAAAAAGTTACTTCATATAAGAAGATTAAAAAAAGGAGACAAGAAGAATTAGACGGTTTTTTAAAATATGTAAATAAAAAGGTACTAAGGATTCATTTGTTATTTTTTTCAGTTGCTCAAAAACTATAATTATCTTTTTTTATTTATAATCATCCAAACAGCCTACCCTTGCCAACTCTGTTTATGTATAATCTATACTCTATCATAGCTTATACTATTCTTAAATCCAGGGCATGTGGAAAGGATGGTGGTAAAAGGGTTAGATCTGTATTTAAATGTGAACATTAGAATCATTTTTCTTTTTTTTTCCTGTATGTAATTGTTAATTTTATACACCAGTTAAAAAAATTTGGAGTCTAGGTTCAAGATATGTGTTGTTGTTTTTTTAATTCTGGAGCTTGATTATTTACAAGGTTATAAAATATTTCTGTTTTTCTGGCATTTTAAAGAGATCTGAGATGTTTGACTAGTGAGTATCTAAAAACAAATTCCTAAATCTTTTAGTGTTCTAATACCTTTTATTAAAATCTTGCAAATTTTAATTAAATTCCTTCTATCACTATGATATTTATTACTTAGATACATTATTTATTACAGTTACTGTATAATTATACATTATAATGTGTAACTATGCATTATTATTACTTAGATAAATCCAGTTTGGTCTTCCCATTCCATTTGCATTTGTCATTGATGCCATTTTAAAGCATAACAGTGGAACTGTGTATTTGACTCTTGAGTCTTGTTATGTTCAAAATTAATTGTGCACCTCTTATTCTTATGTGTGGTTCCTTCCTATAGGGAAATGCATTTATAGAGCATTATGATCCAAAAGAGTATGATCCTTTTTACACGAACAAAGAGGACCCAAATTTTCTGAAGGTAGACTTCTAATTTTAACTTTGGCATGATGTGGTTTATGTTTTTGAACAGTCTGATATGTAAGTAGTCCTTCAGTGATTCCCTATGAATGCTGTAACATCTTAATCATGTCCCATCTTCACACCTTTGACTATATGGACCTTTGTCAGCAGAGTGATGTGTCTGCTTTTTAATACACTGTCTAGGTTTGCCACAGCTTTTGTTCTAAGAAGCAAGCGTCTTAATTTCATGGCTGTAGTCACCATCCTCAGTGATTTGGGAGCCCAAGAAAATAAAATCTGTCATTGTTTACACTTTTTCCCCACCTATTTGCCATGAAGTGATGGGACTGGATGCCATGACCTAATTTTTTTTTGTATGTTGAGTTTTAAGCTAGCTTTTTCACTTTCTTCTTTCATCCTCATCAAGAAGCTCTTTAGTTCCTCTTCGCTTTCTGCCATTAGAGTGGTATCATCTGCATATCTAAGGTTGTTGATATTTCTCCTGGCAATCTTGATTCCAGCTTGTGATTCATCCAGCCTGGCATTTCACATGATGTATTCTGCATCAGTTCAGTTCAGTCACTCAGTCGTGTCCAACTCTTCGCGACCCTGTGGACCACAGTGCACCAGGCCTCCCTGTCCATCACCAACTCCCGGAGTCTACTCAAACTCATCTCCATTGAGTTGGTGATGCCATCCAACCATCTCATCCTCTGTCATCCCCTTCTCCTCCTGCCTTCAATCTTTTCCAGCATCAGGGTCTTTTCAAATGAACCAGCTGTTTGCATCAGGTGGCCAAAGTATTGGAGTTTCAGCTTTAACATCAGTCCTTCCAATGAACACTCAGAACTGATCTCCTTTAGGATGGACTGGTTGGATCTCCTTGCAGTCCAAGAGACTCTCAAGAGTCTTCTCCAACACCACAGTTCAAAAGCATCAATTCTTTGGTGCTCAGCTTTCTTTATAGTCCAACTCTCACATCCATACATGACTACTGGAAAAACCATAGCCTTGACGAGACAAACCTTTGTTGGTAAAGTAATGTCTCTGCCTTTTAATATGCTATCTAGGTTGGTCATAACAGAAGTTAAATAAACAAGGTGACAATATATAGCCTTGTTGTACTCCTTTCCCAATTTTGAACCAGTCATTTGTTCCATGTCCGGTTGTAACTGTTGCTTCTTGACCCACATACAGGTTTCTCAGGAGATAGGTTAGGTAGTCTGGTATTTCCATCTCTTTAAGAATTTTACAGTTTGTTGTGATCCACACAGTCAAAGGCATTAGCATAGTCAATGAAGCAGAAGTAGATGTTTTTCTAGAATTCCTTTGCTTTCTCTGTGATCCAGCGAATGTTGGCAATTTGACTTTTGGTTCCTCTGCCTTTTCCTAAACCCTGCTTGTACATCTGGAAGTTCTTGGTCCATGTACCACTGAAGCCTAGCTTGAAGGATTTTGAGCATAATCTTACTAGCATGTGAAATGAGCACAATTGTGTGGTAGTTTGTACATTCTTTAATACTTCTCTTCTTTGGGATTGGAATGAAAACTAACCTTTTCCAGTCCTGTGGCCACTGCTGAGTTTTCCAAATTTGCTAACACATTGAGTGCAGTACTTTAACAGTATTATCTTTTAGGATTTTAAATAGCTCAACTGGAATTCCATCACCTCCACTAGACTTGTCTGTAGTAATCTTCCTAAGGCCCACTTGACTTCACACTCTAGGATGTCAGGCTCTAGGTGAGTGACCACACCATCATGGTTATCTGGGTCATTAAGACCTTTTTTGTAGAGTTCTATGTATTCTTGCCACCTCTTTTTAATCTCTTCTTCTGTTAGATCTTTACCATTTCTGTCCTTTATCATGCCCATCCATGCATGACATGTTCCCTTGATATCTCCAGTTTTCTTGAAGTGATCTCTAGCCTTTCCCATTCTGTTATTTTCCTCTACTTCTTTGCACTGTCCATTTAAGTAAGCCTTCTTATCTCTCCTTGCTATTCTCTGGAACTCTGCATTCAGTTGGGTGTATCTTTCCCTTTCTCCCTTGCCTTTCACTTCTCTTCTTTGCTCAGCTATTTGTAAAGCCTCCTCAGACTACCACTTCCTACTTTTGCATTCCAATCCCCTATGATGAAAAGGGGTGTTAGTCCTAGAAGGTCTTGTAGGTCTTCATAGAACCGATCAACTTCAGCTTCTTTGACATCATTGGTTGGGGCATAGACTTGGATTACTGTGATGTTGAATGGCTTGCCTTGGAAACGAACTGAAATCATTCTGTCATTTTTGAGATTGCACCCAAGTATTCCTTTTGTTGACTCTTGTTGACTATGAGGGCTACTCCATTTCTTCTAAGGGATTCTTGCTGACAGTAGTAGATATAATGGTCATCTGAATTATGTTTGCCTATTGATTCTTAAGATGTGGATATTCACTCTTGCCATCTCCTGCTTGACCACATCCAATTTACTTTGATTCATCAGACCTAACATTCCAGGTTCCTATGCAATATTGTTCTCTACAGCATCGGACTTTACTTTCACCACCAGACACATCTGCAACCTAGCGTCGTTTCCACTTTGGCCCAGCTGTTTCATTCTTTTTAGAGCTATTAGTAATTACCCTCTGTTCTTCCCTCGTAACATATTGGACACCTTCTAACCTGGGGGACTTATTTTCTGGTGTTATATCTTTTTGCCTTTCCATACTGTTCATGGGGTTCTTGTTGCAAGAATACTGCAGTGGTTTGCCATTCCCTCCTCCAGTGGATCACATTTTGTCAGAACTCTCCACTAGGACTGTTCATCTTAGGGGACCCCGCACAGCATAGCTCATAGCTTCACTGTTACACAAGCCCCTTCACCACGACAAGGCTGTGATCTGTCCAGAAGGTTGCACAGCTGTCAATACCAGAGTATGAGTGTGTTTCTAAACTCATATACAATATTGCTATAGCATCTTTTTTTTTAATATTCCTTATTTTGAACCTTTAGATTGTTTTTGACCTATTACTGTTATAAACAACAGTATGATGAGCATCCCTTTAACTATTTATTTCTTAATTTTTTCCTTAGGATAAGGTGCTGGTAGTAGAATTGCTGAGTTAAAAGTTATACGTGATTTTGATTCATATCATGAAATTGTCCTCCAGAATGGTTATATAATTTGCACCCCCTCCAGCAAATCTGGGCTTCCCTGGTGACTTAGTCGGTAAAGAGTCTGCCTGCAAGTGGGAGACTTGGGTTCAATCCCTGGGTCAGGATGATCCCCTGGAGAAAGCAGTGGCAACTCATCCCAGTATTCTCGCATGGAGAGTTCCATGGACAGAGGAGCCTGGTGGGCTACAGTCCATGGGGTCACAAACAGTCGGACACAACTGAGTGACTAACACTTCCACTTCCAGAGAATCTACTTTTTTCACATTTTTGCTGGTAGTGGATAAGACAAAATAAGACAAAAAACCTACCTTGAATCATAGACATGCCCTGCTGACATTTGCAGGGCAAAGCAAATCTTTAAATTGTTGCCCAGATTTGGATATATGTAGATGCTACTGTCTGTATTTTTATAGGTCAGAGTTAAATTGAGAGTTTATAGAGGTAGATCCTTAGACATGTTAACTAGTAACATAGCTAATAAGGGTGAGAATTGGGATTTGAAACTGGATCTCCCTGATACCAAAATTTCCTTTTGTTCTTTCACCATGATGACTTTGTAAATGAAGCTGATAGGTGACCTCTTAAGATAAGCTGAGCAATTTGAGGTTATATCAGCAGTTCTCAAAGTGATGTACAAGAACTTTGACAGCCCCGAAACCCTTTTAGGGGGTCCATTAGGCCAAAACTTTTCATAATAGTGCTAAATATTATCAGCTTTTTTTCATTATGTTGACATTTGCACTGATGGTGCAAAAACAGCGTTGGGTAAAACAGCTAGTACCTTAGAACTACTTAAGCTGGTGTCACAAATTATACTAGTAGTCATATTCTTCACTGTCATGCACTCACAGTAAAAAAAACAATTCAGTTTCACTTAAGAATGTCCTTGATCAAACAGTAAACATTATTAATTTTATTAGGTCTTACCCCCACTTTTTTTAAATTGAAGTTCAGTTGGTTTACAATGTTATATTAGTTCCTGAACTTCAGTTGGTTTACAATGTTACATTAGTTCCTGGTATATAGCAAAGTGATTTATATATATGTAATATATATATTCTTTTTCAGATTCTTTTCTATTATAGTTTATTACAAGATACTGAATATGGTTACCTTTGCTGTGTAGTACAACCCTGTTTTTTATCTAGTAGTTTGTATCTGCTAATCCCAAACTCCTGATTTATCCCTCCTCACCTTAGATCTTGGTCTTAATACTCTGTATGATGAAATGGAAAGTATGCAAAGAATACTTCTGTGTATTGAAATACAGTATGATTGTTTAAAATTTGAGCTGAACTGGCTGATTTTGTTTTTCATGGAACATCACTTTTACTTATAGACTTTGGTTATTAAGTCTTGGATATTTGGCAGACATTTTCTACAAAATTACTGAAGTGAGTCTACCACCTTAAGAGAAACAACTGATGGTATTTGTTGCCAATGATAAAATGTGAGCTTTCAAAAATTTGAATTTTTGAAAAATCGTACCATCATCAGTGTGACAGTGTCCCAGTACTCAAAGACTTTACTGATACATTGGTAATGATATTAATGAATGTGATTATTATATAATGAAATGTATTAACATTTGGAAGACCTCATATAACTCAGTGATCTAATTTTTTCTAAACCACCAATTAATGATATGGATAAAAGAGCCATTCAGAGTTCAAGATAGGTCAATGAATTTTAATGTAGCAAAGTTTGAATAACTCATTGATAGGGTTTCAGATTCCACATCATCACTAACCTTTAAGAAACTGCCACTTGTTGATTTTGGGTATAATATCTAAAAGAATATCCACAATAATCTAAAAAGGCTATTAAAACAAGAGCTTACCATGCTTCTTTGGCTGGAAAGCCTTGCTTGGAGATGTATTGGAGTGCACGTATCTCTTTGTAATGTGTTAAATATATATATATAATAATTAGAATGCCATTTGATTCTTCTGGCATAAGAGCCATGCATGGATGCTTAGAATAGACCAAAAAAGACCTGCAACCCAGTCCTCAAAGAACTGTTTTTCTTATAGGTTACCATCCCACCATTTCATGACCCTTTGAAAAAGGCACAATATGACAAAGATGATGGGAAAAGAATTCTTCTTCAGTGTGAGACTGGTACTTAGTTTCTAATTGTTACGTGGTTTCATAACCCAAGAGCAATGGCAGTTGCACTTAAGAGTGCTAATTTTAGGTTTTAATTGTCCTACAGGCAAAATATATACAATGAAAGAATTTAAAGAGGTTGAGAAGGCCAAACTGCATTCCAGATTCCCAGGAATTTCTAGTTCAAGGCATTTAATGACTCCAAATGAGTGGATTAGACTGCCTCCAAACTACATAGAAAGTGAATTTTGTAAAAGGAGCAGGTAATGATTAATATAGTAGAAATTTAAGGAACCTTTTAGAATTTGAAGACTTTTTCTCGAGACAGTGATATAAATTTTGTCATAATTATGATTTCTTTAAAATATTTTTCTTTTTTAAAAAATTTTTATTGGAATATAATTGACTTACAATATTGTGTTAGTTTCAGGTATACGGGAAAGTGGATCATTTACACATATACATATGTTCACTCTTTTTTTAGATTCTTTTCCCATATAGGCCACTACAGAGTATTCAATAGAATTTGCTGTGCCATATAGTAGGTTCTTATTAGTTATCTGTTTTTTATATATAGTAGTGTGTATATGTCAATCCCAGGTTTCCAGTTTATCCCTCTCCCCCTTGTCCCCTGGTAGCCATACGTTTGTTTTCTACATCTATGACTCTACTACTTTTTAATTTAAAAATTTATTTATTTGTGGCTGCATTGGGTCTTTGTTGCTGCACACGGGCTTTCTCTAGCTGCAGTGTGCTTCTCATTGCAGTGGCTTCTCCTGTTGCAGAGCACAGGCTCTAGAGCTTCAGTAGCTGTGATGCATGGGCTTAGTTGCCCCATGGCATGTGGAATTTTCCTGGACTAGGGATCAAAGCCATGTCCCCTGCACTGGCAGGCAGACTCTTAACCAGTGGACCACCAGGAAAGTCCAGTAATTTCTCTGGCTATATTTTCCTGTTTACTAATTCTTTTTTCACTGTGTTGAATATGAAAATTTTAATTTCTTAAATGTTCTCCCCCCACCCCATATGCTTGTTCATTCCTAATGGGCTCTTACTGTTTTATCTTAGTGATTAGATTATTTGTTTCTTTAAACATTTTATATACTGCTACTCTGCATTCTGTATTTGATAATTCCAAATTCTGTATTTCTTGAGGATGCTGAATCTTTTCCCCTGCTGACTGTCAATTATAATGGTTTGCTTTCTCGTATGCTTCGTGAATTTTATTTGTTAGTTAATTTTATCTTGGGTGTCCTATTGGCCTAAATTGGGGGAACTTCTACAGAGGATTTGCTTCTGTTTCTTCCTTTGCTGGTAGCTGGGATGCCATCAACCTGGGCCTAGTTAGCTCTCTTCAAAGGTCTGGGCTCAGAGTGGCGTCTTTCAAGTGTAGTGTCCCCACCTTACCGCTGGCCCAGACAGGGCTCAGTATTCCTTTAGCTCTGTTATTTCCATCTGTCCTCAGGGGTCATTATCTGTTATTTCACATGCCCCTGCTGCCCACCATTATGGCCCTAGCTTCCCATACCTCTAGCCTGTGCTACATTTGTGTGTGAATGTGTGTGTTTCTTCAAATCCCTTTTTCTTGTGAGACTAGTGACACCTCAAAGGGTACATTTTATCCAGAGTCTAGGTATTTGAAGTAAGTGGATTCCCTCAAAGCAGTGAATTTCAAATTGTGAATTTCAAAATATACAGTGATGGTCTATAAAGACTTTCCAAGGTATACATAGGCATGGACAATTTTAAGAGACTCAGCTTCCAGATTCATAAATCTATAGGTACTCTTCCCAAAAGTTGATCTGCCTGAGAACAAGCCTGCATCTATATTACTTCTTATCCCACTTTTTAAAAGAAAAGTATACTTTTCAACCTGTGTATAAAAATTTTAAGATACTGAATGAAGGAGCAAATAAAAATAGTGGCTTTTTAGAGACTTTAATGATGAAGCAAGAAAACTTAACCCACAGGCCTTTCTGTATTTCCCTGTCATATATATTTTTTATTTTACTTTAACTAATTCATTGATTTAAAGGCATGCTATAGAACCAGGGTACTTGGTCTGTGTTGGGTTGCTTTGAATTTGGATAGTTGAAGCTATATAATTTAGTGATGCTTCTTTTAAAGTATAACAAATGTTTTCTGGTACTGCCAGAATTTCAAAATCCTCTTATAACAGCTTTATGTGATTGCTTTAGATTTGGTGTGCCTTATTCAATATGGTGGTTAAAATCTATTTTATCAAACAATATCGTAAAATTTTCATTGCTAGTAAGGCCTACACTCATTTTAACCTAATGAATATTTGATTTTTAAGGGACAGTTGATATTTTTAAAATCTATTAACAAGAAACAAACTATTTAAAGTTATAATAAAAAATTGTAGGTGTCAGCTTTAAAATATCCAAGGGGTTATGTGGTTTTTCAAAACTCTTTTAGGAGTATATAAACAAAACTACTTAAAGATCACTGCTTTAGAGCAAGCTCCTAGTCAGCCATTATTATATATTTTTTTGTTCATATATATGTGTCTATATACACATACATATACTGTAAATTCCTTGAGGATAGTAATTGAGTGACCCAAAATCAGTGTTTGTTTCATGAACTAATGAAATAATGTTTGGATATGGTGAACAGGGAGGAGGGGAGCTCAAGGAAGACTCTGATGTATCAAATAGGCCACTGGGAGGATGGAGGTGCTATCAGCATAAGATGGAACATGGGAGAAGCAGATTCAGAAATGCAGTTGATGAGTTTAGTTTTGTTTATTCTGAGTTTTATACACTTGTGGTCCTTTCAGGTAAAGATGTATTACAGATTGTTGGAAAAGTGAGACTACAGCTCAAGAGAGAAGGGGATTTGAGGCTGGAGAACTAAAAGAGTTATTCACTTTGGAATGAGAATAAAAGGATAAGAATGGATTGGATAGGCTGAGGAGAGAATACTGGGGAAAAGAAAAATACTGAGATGAAAGGCTGTGCGATAAAATTTGGGAGGTGGGAAGAAGAAAAGGAGACAGAGGAAGCAGTCTGTGGTTTGCCACAGATGTCAGGAGAGGAAAGAGTGACAAGAAGGGTCAGGCCCTATGCCAGATACTCTGGAGTGTAGCAAACTGAGAGGAAGCCATGGGATTTGTTGACTAAGGACATTCCTGCCCATACTCTTAGTTTTCTCTGAGCAAAAGCAGAGGTAGTTGAGAAGGTCTTATCTGATAATACCCTTCTCATCCAGCCTTTTCATTATCGTTTGGTTCCCTTAGTATTTACTCTCATCTCAAGTTCTTCTCCAGGATAGCCTTGCCTAAGAAAGTTACCTGGGGACAAATGAGCCACTGCATTAGCCCTTCTCAGACGTATTAACACAGGAAACCCTTTTGTCCTCTTGTGAGTAATGCTTTATTACTAACCTAGATGTTTGCTGTACCAATTTCTTTTACTCAAACATATTTCAAAGTCCACATTCTCTAGGAAGGTTCATTCTGACTAAGTTAGCATCAGACTGATCGTTTCCATTAATTCTTTGTGTGGCTATTTGCAAGCTGGGGGTACTGGGTATGTTAGTTGGGATAATGGCTCTTGGTTTTAGACAGCTGAATTTCCCCCTCCCCCAGAAAAGGATTCATTTATTGAGGACTTATGCTGCTCACAAAATCATTGGGAGGTTGTAAGAAACAGGGCTTAAATTTCAGAAATAACTCCCCAAATCACAGTGTAGCACTGACTGACCAAGGGATGTGTTGTTTCTGCTGTGGTCAGGAAATGGCAGAACCAGGAAGCTGCTGCTCCAGTTGTTGGCCTAGACCCCCCCAGCTCTGCTGTAATCTGTGCCAGCAGTGGATGCTCCTCACAGGGCTGGTATCATCCTTCCAACCAGTCTTGAGTTGGGGCAAGATGGGAGGGCTCTAAGTCACCTGCCTGCCACCTTATGGCAAGGGAGACTGAGAAATGAGGTGCTGGAGTTCCTTCTTAGGAAAAGCATTTTACATTTATGCTTGTAAATGACACAATCTCTGTAACTTCTTTTTACACTTAGAGTATAAGCTCTAGGATATAAGGAGTACTTTAAACTTTGCCTACCTGATTCTAGGTCCTCAGTAAATAGTAAACCAATCTCTATCATAGTTTCAGCAACTCATAAATATCCAAGAATGCACACCAGTTTGAAATAATGGTATTTTGGACAGTATATACATAGTGGTCAATATATAACAATAATTTCTCCATAAATGCAAGCTAGTGTTGTTTTCTGAATATCCTCTCACACATGTTGTCTTGTTAAAGGTTAAAAATAAAAGTGAATTTTAATGAAAGCAGTTTTGACTTGAAACCTTTGGCAAGAACTCCTCATCTGGAATTCCAAAAAGAAGATAAAGCAGTTATTTATAAGTAAGTCTGCTGTTCCATGGCTTTGTTCTTCTTTCATTTGACTTGCTTGACTGCCACCACCTGCCATCATTTTAAGTTGCTGGAGTCATTCCTGAGGAATATAGCAGACTCTCATGGCCAGACATCGCGCATCTACCACCACTGTGTCTGGGTGAGATGGCCACTTTGCTCAGCTTTTTCTAGTTTTAAAGAACAAACAGCTGACATGTTCAGAAATAACAAGCACAGATACAGAAAAAAGTTGTTAACAACTCATATTAGAGTTAAAAGTTAGGAGATTTTTAATTGAATTGGAGTGGTAAAAATGAAATTTTGGATTAGTTCTGGTGGGTACTAGCTGTTACAATATTGTACCCAGAGTAAAGAGAGGTTATCAGCAGAAAAGCAGTACATAGACTACTGTGTGTGTAACATGGGGAGTCACCTCCATTTACTAGTTATGGAATTAAAAGTAAGAGATTTCTCTATATATAACTTGCTAAGCATCTGATTAAAAGTAATGAGGTCCCTCAGACATTGCTGAAGGGAATATAAAATGGTACAGCAGCTTTGGAAAATAATTTATCAGTTTCTCAAATGTTAAATGTTAAATTACCAAGTGACCCAGCCATTAAGCTCCTAGGTTTCTATCCAGGAAAAATGGAAATATATGGCCACATAAAGGCTTGTATATGAGTGGGTGTTCATGACACCATCATGCACTCAAATGTTCATCAATTTGTGGATGCATAAACAAAATGTGGTACATCCATACATGGAATATTATTTAGCAGTTAAAAGGAAAAGAAGTACTTACACATGCTACAACATGGATGAACTTCAAAACTATTATATTTAGTGAAAGAAGACAATCACAATTTTGATTCTATTTATATTTATGTGAAATGTTCAGAAAAAGCAAATTTGTAGAGCTAGGAGGTTGATTATTGGTTGCCTAGTGCTGGAGTTGGAAATGGAGAGTGACTGTAAGTGAGGGTGAGGTTTTGGACTGAAAAAGTGTTCTAAAATTAGACCGTGGTGGTGGTTACACATCTCTGTAAATATAGGAAAATCATTGATCTGAACACACAAAATGGATGCATTTTATGGTACTAAATTATAGCTCAGTAAAACTGTTGACAATAATAAAAAAAAGAACCTAGCAAGGCAGAAGGGCATATGACGTTTAGGAGGTTGGCTTATAATTCTCTGCTACTAAAAAGCCAGAAAGTAAGCTGCAGTGGGTTTCCCTTTTCTTGTTCTGAATAAACTCAGAATTTTTTGAACAAATATAATGTGACAGAAGCCAGAAGCCTTTTAGAAATGCTTGATTCTATCATGTCCCGCAGAGAGAACAACTAATTGCCTCGTGAGGGTCTTTTTAGTAGATTTAAAGTAGAAACAGGTGACTGTTGGAGATGGTGCTGGCCATTGTGGACTTCTCAGTGTCCTTGAGGGGCATTTAACGCTTTGCTGCTCTTCTGCATGGGAACTGAAATTGAGGAATAATAGGAAATATTGAAAGTAAGCCCTATTCACTGATGTCCTTAAAAGATGGACTGATTCAGCATCACCCTTGTATATTAGGTTCTGAAAGAGTAAGTTCCTCTACAATCTGTAACTGCCATGATCTCATACACACTTGCTTGAGTCAGGTTTTAGAATAGTAAACATTTTAGTCCTATTTAGTTTTTATATATTGTATAAAAGGGGTGGTTTTGTCCTTAAATATCTTTTGTAGCAGAGTATGACCCAGATATGAAGGAGAATATTGCATCATTGGAATGTGTAGGGGTTTAAACTAGAGGCTTAAACTCATGAGATCTCCCTGAATAAGAAGGAAGATTACACTATATTTTCTTCCATGAATTAGGGAATCATCCCAAGTATGGCTTCCTTGGTAGCTCAGTTGGTAAAGAATCCACCTGCAGTGCAGGAGACCAGGGTTCTATCCCTGGGTCGGGAAGATCCCCTGGAGAAGGAATGACAATCCACTCTGCTATTCTTGCCTGGAAAATCCTATGGTCAGAGGAGCCTGGCAGGCTACAGTCCATGGGGTTGCAAGAGTAAGACACGACTTAGCGACTAAACCACCACCACCACCCAATTATAGCATGGAAGTGGAAAAGGCATATTTGTCTCTGACAGAGTTAGACCTTCCCATGGAAGTTACAGTGTATACCTCTGTAAGGGGGTGAGGGTCATTTATGTCACAGGACCCTCACTCAGCTGTTTGATTAAGCAGTAATGAGATTTTGGATGAAAATGTTAGTAGAGCAAAGTAATGCTGTTTATTTTTCATAAAAATGTATAAATTCCTATAGAACTCATCAACCTCAAACTTAAATAAAATATTAAATGCTATAGTTGAGTTGATAGAATTCTTTCCTTTCTGGTTCCTTTTTCCACAAACACAGGGTCATCCTTTCTATGTTATCAGGAGGGAAGAATCCAAGTTCCAAAGAAGCCAACTCTAAAGAGCACCTTTCTTCCTTGAACTTCCTTGAGCTAGGAGGAAGACGGGGATTGGGACCAGGATGCAGCGAGAGCTGGGGTAGTCCCATTTTGCAATACACACAGCAGCAATTGCTGATACCAAAATCTGAGCAGCTGGGAACAACTTGTATGGCAGGCTTCCCAAAGACAGGAGGCAGTGGGCCATCCTCCCTACCCTCTCCCCCTGCCAAAAAAGGGTGAGGGAGTGAGTAGAAGAAACTGAGGCAGGTTTTCCTGATTCAGGGGTATGGAGAGCGAGACTCCATGTACTGCCTAATGGAGTGTCCTCTGGAGGGCAGACTGTATACTTTCCTAGCTTCTTCTCCTTAGCTTTTGCTCTTCTACTCCTCCACCATCTCAATCATCTCTCTACTGTTTATCAGATAACCACGCTCAAGCCGTGTCCCAAATTTTGTTCCTCTTAATTTAGCCAAGAAAGGCAAAATTTTTCAAAAGGACCATATACTAAAAGTAGTAAGGTTTGAAAAGTAAAAGTTCCCAAATGTAAAATGTATGGAAATATAGATGCTCACCTAGCACCGATTTCTCATCTAAGGTGACTATGGTTAAAATTGGTGCCGTTTGACTCTTGTAGCCTAGCCTCCTGCTTTTAGGCCTAGGTGCTACTACCCTTCAACTCTCTTCTCTACATCCTGTGTCCCAGGTCTCTGGAGTGTAGCTTCTTTTAGGAGTGGATTGAAGAAGTCACAGCCCATCCTCCTCATCTCCCAGTTAGAAATCAATATGGAAATGATTTGTTAGTCCGAGTCTACAGCCAGTCGTTCTATCATTCTTCTTTTCTGTCTCTGTTTCCTCACTCCTACTCCTAAAGGATAAAGGAGCTCCTTTTTTTGTTTTAACTCACTCATGGTGAATGTATGAAAATTTAAATTTGTGGTTTAATTCCTTTTACTTGTCATGTTTTAATATCCTCCCCTGTGCTTGCTTGCTTCCTCAAATTTTAACATCACCTACTCTGAACCATGCAGTATTTGAAAGGCTGAAGACTAGAGGTAAACAAAACAGATAAATCTCTGATCTCATGGAGCTTACATTTTGATGAAAGATAGACAGTAAATAAGCAAATATATGATATCACTGAGCTAGTAATAAGTGCAGTGAGGAAAATAAAACAAGTTCCTGGAGAACTACCCAACACCACATGTTTTAATGGACAGTGAGGAAAAATACAAGTTACTTTGTAATCATACCTTACAGACCCTCCTTATGTATTGTAGTAGTTATGGGTATCTTGATATAATCAGCCCCAAACAAGATTATGCTTTACTTTTGCACTTCTGCCCCTCTTCCTGTCAGGTTTCTCTTAGTTCAGTGAATAGGGCATAATCCAAGAAGGAGCCCCAGGATAAAATTCTCGGAGTCGTTTTTTATTTCTTGCTTTCACTCAGTTCCCATGTCTTCTAGCTCATGTCTGTTAGCTTGTTCACTTCTCAGTTCCTCAGTCCTACCACTGGCTCAAGCCGCTGTGGTCTTACCTGACCTCTTGCACTAGCCTCCTGACTGGTCTTCCTTCTTCTGCTCTTGCCTCTGTATAATGAGTTCTCATGCAGCACCATAGTCTTTTAGAAATGTTTATTACACCAAAATTTTCCCCTACCCAAAACCAGGAATCCTAATGGCTTCCCTCACACTTTGGATTTTATCCTAACTCCTTAATGGGTCCTCTAACCCCTGTACAGCTGGGCACCTGCCTCCTCTCCACCCTTATCACCTGCCTTTTTCCCACACTCACTGTGTTCCTTCTCTTGTTTTGTGGCACACCTTATCAGGCTTTTGCTTCTACCATTCTGTCTGCCTGGAACACCCCTTCCCCAGATCTCTCCATGCCTCATTCACTCAGACCCCTGCACAAATATCATCTCTCCCAAGAAGGCTTCTATGACTTGTCTACTTAAAATACCTCCCTCATCCATTTCTCTACCCTCCCTATCCCCTTTACTTGTGGAGAGGTAGAATCCAGGACTCAACTGGAGGTCAGGACAATCTGTCATTGTAAGAGGAAGGAAGGACACAGAATGCATGGATATAGATGAAGACACCTTGGTGAATTTTGTGAATGAAGACTGTTTACTTCTGTTTACTTCATTTTCTCAATGAAATCAGGTCATTCATGAACTGACAGTGAAGATGGAAGACAAAGATTTAGAGGTTTGAAAGGAAAAGGGACGAAAGGAACCTAGTATTTTATAAATCACAATAATCCTAGTGTAAATGAGCACTCCAGACATACTGACATCTGAAAGCAGGACCATAGGTGGTCCCTCAGATCATATCCCACATCCAGTAGTCTATCACACCTGTAATAGGGTTGGCTCTGTACTGGAATCTCTGTATGTTTCTGAATCCAGATGGAGTGAGGAGAGTCTGAGTCAGGAGGCTTAGAGGGGACCCTGCCTCCAGGCCACTTAGCTCCAACAGGAGGATTAGGCTTCAGGGAGATCGGCTCAGCTAAGCAGAGGAATTCTTTCTGCTCTGGAAAACCCTCATCCCTGTATCAGTCACACTTTTCTCTTCTCTTCTGTCACTTTCTAAAGGTTTTAGCAACCAAGGAGTACACACCCTGGTCCTTGACTGGTCAAAGAGGACACAAAAGAAGGCTGCTTCAAAGGAAGCCATCTGCTGCAGGAAGAGCTCAGATTGAGGACCAAGGAAAGCATTCAAGAAATGTTCTCTAAGAAAAGCATCTGCAATGAACTTTGTCTTTGAGTCTAATTGTATGATAATTAAGAAATGACCATACTATAAATTGACAGTTATTGCAAATGTATTTCCCACAGGAGTTAAATGTTGCCTCAGAGATAAAATAAAAATACTGTTGCCTTATTTAGCACTCACCTCAATTCACTTGCTCTTTCCTTAAATTGTCAGGCACCCTGAAAATCCATACCCAGATAGTCTCCCTAGGTTTTCCCAACAGTCTTTAGAAAATTTAAAAACTTCTTTTGATTATCCATCCGCTGATTCTGGGTCTGCATGTCTGCCTCTGGCTCATGTTGAGTTTGACTCCTGCTCCCAGGAGCTCAGTAGGCAGGATCTGGAGCACAGAAGACAATTAGGTTTTCCTTGGGTAAAAGGGGCGCTGAAAATCTATCCTCACGCTTCTACTTGTAGCCTTAGATCACACAGGTAAATGGTACTTTCTCTTTAGTATACTTTACATGACCTACATTTTTTTATTTTAAAAAAAAAAAACCCTAGGGTGGTGTCGGATTGGACGGTTGAAGGGATTGGACGGTGGAAGGCTGGTGGGAGTGGAGGGGCGGCGCGAGGTTGAGGGGGTGGGGGGCCCGAGCTCCCCTGTTTGCTGACTTCCGGGTGGCTAAGAGCCCTAGACAGACTGAGGGAAGAGGGGTTGGGGTCTAAGCAGAGTGCTTTAGCTTGGTTTTTGAAGGCGCTCCCTTTCTCCCTCCCAGAACGGTCAGTCCCCTGTGCCGTTTCCCAACGGCCCTGCGCTCGAGGTGGGGGCAGGGAGCGGCCAGGCCCGCGACCACTCCAGCAGCCCCTCCGCGGTGTGGCCCAGGCGGACCCTGAGGTGTTGCCTGGCTGGGTCTGCAAGGCCGCAGGTCAGGGAGTCTAACTAGTCACCCACTTTGCGAAACAGGTTTAGGGGCACTGGAGGATTTATTTTTTGTTTTACTTAACCGAAGTGTTTAACCACTCTCTGAACTCAAAGACCTACACTTTTTCAACTGGACTCGGCTATCTCTTCAATTTACTCTTTCTCCCCTCAGGGATTATATTATGTATGGCTGCCACAAAAATGTCCGACTGTGGTAAACATTTTGGGCCTGAACAATTAGAAAAGTGGCCAGAACCCGAGTCAGTCACGTTGATGGAGGTAAAATTATATGGCATTTAGGGGCCGTCTTTCGGTGACGGGACATAAATCCCTTGAAATTAAGATTTATTGTGTCTTAATCACAGTTGTTTTCCCCAGAACTAGAACAGCGCCTGACATAGACTTGGTGCTTAAGAAAGTCATCCAATGGGAAGGGCAGGGGGTGGGGGGCACAGTTGGCCCAGGGTGGTTGTCCTGTTTCCTGTGGTCAGGCAGGGTGAGGACTGCTACAGGGCGGCAGTGGGTAAACACAGCAGTCCCTGAGCTGCCCTGCAGGAGAGCAGGGGAGGCCCGGCCTGGGCTTGTAGTTACTTCATGATACTTCAGGATCTGGTAAAGCAATGATTTTCTCATAAAGTTTCATTATTTCATAGAGAAGTTCTTGGATATTTCCTCTGTTTTACCCCTTTTACTGTGGTGGCAGTAAGAGTGGTGAGATTGTGTGTGTGCATGTGTGCATGCGTGTACATGCACAGAAAAATACAGATTTCAAAAGTACTGCTAGAAATCATTAACATCCTCCTTATATTTTCTGACAAAATCACCAAGAGGGAGCTGTTAAAACAAAAACTATTTCCTTTAAAAAAAAAAAGTTGGTTTGAAAATCTGCATATAACCAATAGTATGTATAACATTTGCTAACAGTGTTAAAAAATTGATTTTCCAAGATGATTGTTAGTGTATGTTTCTACTTCTTCAGATAAATAGATTGATTATTCTAAATTTGTATTGTTGTATTAGGGGAAAACATTTAATTGTTTTATATGATTTTTCAGTTATCACTTAAAATAAGTTTAAGAAGGCTTTATTTTAAATAAGAGTCTGTTCATATTATCAGGAGAGTTTTATTTTGGATAAGACTGTAGTAGCTGTCTGAATATCATTTTAGATTTCATGCAAAGCTGTTATATATACAAATAAAAATACAACTGTCCCTCTCAAGATTTCTGTTATTCACAGAGTTGGTATTTGAGTGTGGGGTTTAGTTCATTTTGATGCACTCACTGTGACAGAACTGAAAGAAAAGTCAAGAGATTGAATAACATAGTTTTAAGAATCTGTATCACTTTACAGTAGATAATTCTTTTAGGTAACAGCACTTCTCTTACAGATACTTAATTTTTATTGCTTTTCCATTTGTTCCTACTTACTTCTCTTTACTAAGGCTGGATGGAAGATCAGTTCATAATGATCTAAATGAAAAGCCCTAGAGTAAGGATTTAAGTGCATCAGCTTTACCCAAACTCATAATGGAAACAGTTAGTCCCTAAATGTAAAACCATCTTGGTTCTTAGCCAGGAGTTCCCAACTAACTGGCTCTGGTCCAGTCAAACTAAGTCAAACTTCTGCAGTTTTGACTTATAAGGAGGTTTTAAATTATAAAGAGACCTAGCAGAAGTCAGGGAACTTCAAGGGCTTTTAAAACATACCCACAGACTGCCTGTAAAGAGGCTTCGTTTTATAGTTGTTCAGTCACTAAGCTGTGTCTTACTCTTTGTGGCCCCATGGACTGCAGCACACCAGGCTTCTGTGTCCTTCACTGTCTCCTGGAGTTTGCCCAAACTCATGTCCTTTGAGTTGGTGATGCCATCCAACTATGTCAACTTCTATTGCCCTCTTCTCCGGCCCTCAATTTTCCCCAGCATCAAAGTCTTTTCCAGTGAGTCGGCTCTTCACATCAGGTAGCCACAGTATTGGAGCTTCAGCTTCAGCATCAATCCTTCCAATGAATATTCAGGGTTAATTTCCTTTAGGATTGACTGGTTTGATCTCCTTGCAGTCCAAGGGAATCTCAAGAGTCTTCTCCAGCACCACAATTCAAAAGCATCAATTCTTTGGCGCTCAGCCTTCTGTATGGTCCAGCTCACATCCATACATGACTATTGGAAAAACCATAGCTTTGACTATATGAACTTTGTCAGCAAAGTGGTATCTCTACTTTTTAATACACTTTCTTGGTACTTTAAAAATCATGGTGTGGGCTGATTCATGTCAATGTATGACAAAACCCACTGAAATGTTGTGAAGTAATTAGCCTCCAACTAATAAAAATAAATGAAAAGAAAAAAAAACAAAGACATATCTAGGAGACAATAAAAAAAATAAAAATCATGGTGTGATGTAAGAGATTTGTTTCAAAATAATCTAGTAGGGGGTAGGGGAGTGAGTAGGGATTTAGATGAAATAAGATTCACTGAATTGATCATTGTTGGACCTGGGTGATGGATTCATGGAGAATTGTGTTTGAAAATTTCCATAATAAAAAGTTACAGATGTTAGAGGTACAGATGTTAGATTCACACTCAAATTATTGGTAAAATACATTGAGTTTTGTCACAGGCTTGTTTATTCAGGATTCACATCTTAATATTTAATTCTATAATTTTAGGCATTAGCCAGAGAAGACATTGATGAAGCTGTATATGCAATATTATTTAGAGAAAATTGTATTGCAAAGGTAAGAGTTGGCTACAGAGTGGATTCTAAGTGCATTCTAGATAAGCGCGAGTGATATAGAGCAGTGTGGCAAAGAGGATGTTACCATGTCAGAGAGAGTCATTTTTTCTGGGAGAATGAGCCTCCCTTGAATCACCCATTGATGCTACATAGATCCGAGCTGGTGCTCTCTCCTTGCAGGATCACTAAGAGGTCAGGTTTCCCAGATTTATCCTTAAGGGATCTGAGAGATTGTTCTAACTACTCCCCTGGTACTGAATAGAATTTTTTCCTAGAACTTACCTCTCTCTCTTATGTTCCCACATCACAGTGGGGAGCTATAAAGCCATGAAAAATGAATTAGTATTTAAGGGTAATGACCAATCAGTACTGATCGTCACTATGGAATTAATAAATTTAAGGAGGTTTTCATCTCAATGAGAGGGATTGGAATTTGATATATAACACTTGAACATTTGTACTGTGACATAGTTTATAAAGGAGGTTCACATATATATTCTCATATGAGCCTCAAAAGATGAAGGTGGGTTTACCCTCAGAGAGAAAGAGAGGTGTTGAATCAAGTCTGGTGCTCTTATTTCTCTACCACTTTTATCACAGACTTTACTGATGATAAAGGCTGGAGATGAGGAATGGTGACCAGGGAATGCTTTGAATCCTGAAAAGAAGCACAGTTTCCTGAGTTAGGAAGGGTTTGGATGTGGTTTGGTCTGGAGGCACTATTGTGTGGCACTTTCTGTGGGTTCTGCATGCTCTATGCTCTCAGGTTCTCTTTCTGAACTTTATTCTGTTCTTTGATTATCTTATTCTATGACTTTGCAGCCTGAATGTGCTGAGAGGTTGGGAGTGGGAACAAGTGTCCCCCCCAACTTATTCTGATTAAAATAAATGTAAAACCTCTTAGTAACTTGTTTTTTTTTCCTTGTTTCTATCACTTCATTAGAGATTGGATGCGTATTTTCAGCATCTGGATGCTTTTAAGGAAAGAAGAAAAGAGCTGTTGCATAAAAAATGGACTGAAAATGTCGCAAAGCCTCTTCAGCAGAGAATTATGGAAAAAGTAATTTCATATAAAGCGTTGGAGAAAACAAAGCAAGAGAATTTTGAATATTTTTTAAAGCACACAAATAAAATGGTACTAAGAGTTTTTTAAAATGAAATATTATTTGAAAATTTGGACTGTTATTTTCATTGATTATGCAGATTCGCAAATTTGTTTTTGTATCTAAGATGAATTCATGGAACTGTAAAACAGCCTACTGCATTTTTAAATTCAGTTTAAGGTAGAGGGAACAGAAGTGTTTATTTGGAACTAGATTCATCAGGCATGCTTTTCGGTGATTGTTAATAATGTAACAGGGGCTTAAACCATAAGAACATTTATTGGTTACTCAATAAGAAACAGAGGGGAAAAAAAAAAAGAAACAGAGGGGCTGGTGGTCTTATGGTGGATTCTGGCAGTCTAACAATGTCATTAATAACCCAGTTTTGTTTTTTTCCTGTTCTGATATCCTGAGTATTTTCAGTCTCTGCCCATCATCCTCACATTTGTAAGCACGTTTGGTTTCTTATAGCTCTGGGTATTAGGCAGGAAGAAAGGGTAAGAAATGATGTCTGGGGGCCCTTTCTTACATCTCATCCTTTGATCAGGAAGCAAAAAGTCCTCAGAAGCTCCTAGCAGATTTCTCCCTAGCGGTCATTTTCCATAAACCAGGTCACATCAGAAGTCCTAACTAAAAGCAGAGCTGGGCAGGTGTGTGTGGCTTTCCAGTCTTCAGTACGTTGTGGGTGAAGGAGAAGGGGACTCCATGGCTATTGAGTTAGCAACCATTAGGTGAAGAGACCACCAGTTTCTATCCTCTGTTCTTCAGTTTTATTAAATAAGAACAAATTTTGGCTTCTTCTATGGAAGGTTTTTCTCTGTTTAACTTTGAGATCAGGACCCTCTTTTGAAATTGAGGCCCACCTAAATTTCCACATATTCAGCAGAGATCTAGAGTAATGTGACTGGAATTTTAGAGATTTAAGTATATTTAACGAGCAAAATTTCTGGATGTGTACATTAAATACTTCTTCCTAAGCACCCTAAGAGGCAGAGCTGAAGGGTAAATCCAGGTCACTTTGAAACAAAGTGCAAAGTCTTACAAGTATGTGTAAAAATGTGATTGCACAAGCATATGATGGGAAAGCCATGCCTTAGAAAAACCATGTGTTGAAGTCAAGTGATTTAAAATGACAGTAAATTCAATGTGAGTCAGCCACGTGAGCTGGCTTCCAAGAAATCATCCAAGCTTTTAGGCAGTATTGAGAGGCAGTGCTCTGAGTGGGAAACGGGTCCAGCCTGTCTACCCACGGACAGTCACCAGTTACAGAACCTTTAGAAAAGAGTGGAGGCTTGACAACACTTCACAGGAGGAAAATTGGAAAAAAATATATAGCATGTTTAGCCTAGGGAAGAGATGACATGAGGGGAAATGACATCTTTAAGTATGTATTGTAAAAGGCTGACATGTGGATGAAGAGTAGATGTACTTTGTGTTGCTTCATGGGGAGAACTGGTGATGACAAGGCAGACTTCAGCTCTGTTCTAAGGACAAGCTTCCTAATGGTTAGAATGACCAAAGGAGCATCTGCCTCATGGAGCAGAGCTGTGCTGTGCTTAGCTGCTTCATTGTGTCTGACTCTTCGTGACCCCATAGACAGTAGCCCACCAGGCCCTTCTGTCCATGGGGATTCTCCAGGCATGAATACTGGGGTGGGTTACCATGCCCTCTCCAGGGGATCTTTACAACCCAGAGATCAAACCCAGGTTCTCCCGCATTGCAGGCAGATTCATTACCATCTAAACTACCAGGGAAGCCCGAGAGTACTGGAGTGGGTAGCCTATCCCTTCTCCAGGGGATCTTCCTGAAATCGAACGGGGATCTCCTGCATTGCAGGTGGATTCTTTACCAGCTGAGCTACCAGGGAAGCCCTAATGAAGCAGAAGTTCCTCAAATAAGGCTAGTGGGTGACTTGAGACTAAAGCTGGATGATTACTTCTTCCAGAAGGTGGTGGACTCTCACTGCAGTCCAGATTACTTCTAAGGTTTCTCTGAACCCTTTGAATTTATGATTTTATATAAAAAATGGAATAAAGTATTTCGCTTTTTTGAATCTTGCAAAAACACACTTGTATGTAGTGCTTTGCTCTTAAGTGTACTTTTTTGTTTAAAGGAAATTATATTTGGAGACTTTTATGATCCTGAAGTATACAACCCTTTTTATATGACAAAAAAGGACCCAAATTATGGAAAGGTAAGTACATTACCTATTATCTATTTATTCTTAGAAGCTCTGGGGTTGGGGAAAACCTGATTGTTTTAGAAGTCTTACAGTTATTCTGCATTCACTTAAAAAAAAAATCCACAAAAGCATTTCCCCTGAGTTTTAGATTAAGAACCCAAAGTCATTTTGACCACTTGGGAATGAACATTGTGAAAAAGGCACATGCGTGTGTGTGATAATTCATTCGTTCATTCTTTCCTCTATCCACTCACATTCAGCAAACCGGAAGCCCAGGAGGTTGGGGAAGGTAAGTGGACAGTGAATGTGACAAGAGTGTCACAGAACCAGCTCAGGGAGAGCGCCTTCATAGAAGAGGTGGAAGGAGGGATGCAGGAAAGGCTGTCCAGGAGCCAGTAGTTGAGCTTGTAATGCATCTTCACATTTCACACTGACAATATAGGTATTAACATTTTGAGATGTAGGTTTCACGTGTTTTAGTCTTGTGTAGCAGAAGTGGCCACCTGATCTCTGAAGAGGAAAGTGGTTTATTTTTGCTTCTCTCCAAAAACTAAGGCAGGTCATGGTTGTGAAGATAGGAAGGTCTTTTTGGCTCTGGGGGACTCGGTGAGTATTCTGTTGGGGAGTCATTATGCTGTCTCCTCATTCAGTAGCTGTTGTCCTTGCAAATAGCATTGGGTCAAGATCAAGTGTGTGGGGAAGTAAAAAGGGGGAATAGTTCTTCCGTCTAAAGCCTATACTCAGGATGTGGAGAGAGGGAGAAAATCACCGTCCTCCATGGCCTCTGTAGCTGGCCCTTGACCTCAGCACATACCATTCTCCTGCCCTGCAGTTCTCACAGGCCCTTAGAGACCAGTGGTCAGCCCTCAAGGAGCGCCCTTCCTCCCAAGCCAGCTTAGAGCTCTGCCTTGTGCTCCCAAGGCTTCTTTGGGAGCTCATACGGTAAAGCGTCTGCCTGCAACACGGGAGACCTGGGTTTGATCCCTGGGTTGGGAAGATACCCTGGAAAAGGAAATGGCAACCCACTCCTGTACTCTTGCCTGGAAAATCCTATGGATGGAAGAGCCTCGTAGGCTACAGTCCATGGGGTCACAAAGTCGGACGCAACTGAGCAACTTCACTTTCTTTCTTTTTGTGCTCCTAAAGCAAGAGAGTTCCAGAAAAACATCTATTTCTGCTTTATTGACTATGCCAAAGCCTTTGACTGTGTGGATCACAATAAACTGTGGAAAATTCTGAAAGAGATGGGAATACCAGACCACCTGACCCACCTCTTGAGAAACCTGTATGCAGGTCAGGAAGCAACCGTTAGAACTGGACATGGACCACAGACTGGTTCCAAATAGGAAAAGGAGTACATCAAGACTGTATATGGTCACCCTGCTCATTTAACTTATATGCAGAGTACATCATGAGAAACGCTGGGCTGGAAGAAGCACAAGCTGGAATCAAGATTTCCAGGAGAAATATCAATAACCTCAGATATGCAGATGACACCACGCTTATGGCCGAAAGTGAAAAGGAACTAAAAAGCCTCTTGATGAAAGTGAAAGAGGAGAGTGAAAGAGTTGGCTTAAAGCTCAACATTCAGAAAACTAAGATCATGGCATCTGGTCCCATCACTTCATGGGAAATAGATGGGGAAACAGTGGAAGCAGTGTCAGACTATTTTTTTGGGCTCCAAAATCACTGCAGATGGTGATTGCAGCCATGAAACTAAAAGACGCTTACTCCTTGGAAGGAAAGTTATGACCAACCTAGATAGCATATTAAAAAGCAGAGACATTACTTTGCCAACAAAGGTCCGTCTAGTCAAGGCTATGGTTTTTCCAGTAGTCATGTATGGATGTGAGAGTTGGACTGTGAAGAAGGCTGAGCACCGAAAAATTGATGCTTTTGAACTGTGGTGTTGGAGAAGACTCTTGAGAGTCCCTTGGACTGCAAGGAGATCCAACCAGTCCATCCTAAAGGAGATCAGTCCTGGGTGTTCATTGGAAGGACTAATGCTGAGGCTGAAACTCCAATACTTTTGGCCACCTCATGCGAAAAGTTGGCTCATTGGAAAAGACCCTGATGCTGGGAGGGATTGGGGGCAGGAGGAGAAGGGGACGACAGAGGATGAGATGGCTGGATGGCATCACCGACTTGATGGACATGAGTTTGAGTGAACTCTGGGAGTTGGTGATAGACAGGGAGGCCTGGCGTGCTGTGATTCATGGGGTCGCAGAGTCAGACACGACTGAGTGACTAAACTGAACTGAAAGCAGCCAAGCTGATGCCTCTCACGACGAGGTAGTCATCCTTGACTTGTCTGTTCTAGACTGAGAGATTCCTGAATACAGGACCCCACTGGGAGGCAGCCACCCCTGCAGTTGCATCAGCAGATACTTGTTGACTGACGCGTTGATACTGTAGAACTCTTAACGGGAGTGTGTGTCTTCTCTTTGGGTGGCCCTTCCTCCATTCAGCCACTTAAGGCTCAGTGAAATATTCTTGGGTGAGGTGGGTGGCATTTATGCTTCCCTTGCTCTGCATAACATTATCCCTGGGTCCTTGTTCTCATCTGCTTTGGCCACACTCGAATGCTTCAGACAGATTTAAAACAAATTGTACTTGGGTCCTCAGAGAGTCATTTTCTCACAGGTTGCGGTCCCACCATTCTGTGATCCTCTGTTTAGAAGACAGCAAGAGATAGATGAAGAGCAGAGAGCTATTTTTCAGTACACAACAGGTACTTTGTGATTACTTCATCTTTAGAGACTTCAATTCTCGAGTGATCTCCTACCCCAAGGGTGACTGGAGCTGACCTTAAGGGTGTTGATTTATATTTTTATCTTCCTGTAGGAAAACGATGTACCTTAAAAGAATTTAAAGAGCTAGAGAAGGGCAGGCAGTATGCCAGTCTGCCCCATTTCACGTTCAGTCTCCACAGCATGGTTTCAAAGGAGAGGCCCAAAGAGTCTGTGAAGCCTGTGGGAAGCAAAACTCATAGCAAATGCAGGTAAAGGTCTTTTTGCTGTGTCCGGAGTTTGGCCTTGTACGGTTTGTCATACAGTTGGAGTCACACAGCAGGTGGCCTTTTCAAGGTTTTACTTTCATTTTTAAAGGCTGTTCTCACTGGATTAAAAATGTTAGGTTGGCAGATACTTTCTTTCAACATATATCCCTGTCTTTTGCTCTTAAAATTGCCCATCCTATTGTTATTCTTTTGGAGACAGTTATCTTTTTCTCTGGATGCTTTTAACATTTTCTTGTTGTCTTTGATTTTCAGTAGTTTTCTATGATGTCCCTAGGTGTGGGTTTTGTTTGTTTGTTTTTAATCTACTTGGCATTTTTGGGTCTTTTTGTATCTGTAAAGTGATGTCTTCAGTCAGTTCTGGGAGGTTTTCATTCATTTTCTCTTTGATTGTTACCTCTGCCATATTCTCTGTTTTCTTTCTGGAATTCCAGTTAAACATATTTTAGATTTTCTCACTGTAACCTCCCTGTCTCTTTCCCTTTCTTGTTATTTCCAAGTTGCTCCAAATTTAATTCTAGGTATTTTTACTCTTTATTTCTTCAGTTGTATCTAACCATCTGTTGTTACATCCATCCACTGAGTTTTTATTTTCAATTGTTTTATTTTTATAGTTCAAGCATTTTATTTTGTTCCTTTTCAGATAAGTTTTGAGGAAGGCTGTGGAGGTCCTCAGGGCCTGGAGGATCTCCACTCCTGATGGGGGAACCTATTTCCAGTGTCCTGGTTTGACTTTCCCCCATCCCCAGGGAGGGGGTTTGTTCAGAACAAGGTTAACTACCCACTTTCCAGAACAGCGCCAGGCCTAGGAGGGAAAATCTGCCAAAGATATGCTGGGAGCATGGAGGAATCAGTCCCTGCTACCTGATGTCGACCAAAGCTCCCAGAAGAGAAGGTAGCCAGAGATTGGCAGCTCCCTCTGAAAGGACTGTCTCCTCTCTGGAAGAATTGTTCCAGTGCTGTCCAGTGACTTTAAAATAGGAATTTTGTGGGGCTGCGAGGGGGTGAATTTTTTTTATTTTCTCTCAGGTTGTTGCAGTAGGAGCATTGGGCTTTGCAAACTTTCTACAGAAAAAAAAAAAAAAAAGCCCCGTCATGTCTGTCATGTTCTCTTGGTGTTTCCTTTTTATCCCCCATCCTGAGTTTTGCTGGAATGAACAACACTACTTTGTTTCTGCTTTCTTGTGATTTGAAAGTTTTGTGTTCTATTTCTGGTTTCATGGTTTCTTTACAAATTTTAATGAATATTTTAATTTAAACATCAATAATTATAACTCCTCATCCCCTAGCAAGACAAAGCCTTTATATTGCTTTATTTCCTCATCTCCCCTCTCTGGCTCCTCAGCCTTTATAGACCGGTCATATTTCTTTAGTTGATATTCTGCCTTTGAGTCTGTCTCTTCTGATGGACTCTCCGCCTCACAGCCAGAGGAATCTCTTCAAAGTGATCAACCTCCTGAACTGAAAACCCTTCAATAGATTCCCATAACCATTCCATTAACGTCCAGCCCAACTAGCACATAAGGTGCTCTCTGGGCCGTGCTACCTTTTCTGGCTTTGTCTAAAAAATCATCTCTCTCTAAAGAAAAATGACAAAGCACAGAAATATTTGGATCAAGTCAGCACTTGGGGGATTATCACGTGGTTGTTCCCCTGCTGTCCTTCCTGCCTCTTCTTTCTGCAGCAAGCTCCCTGAGGGCAGGGGTTGCTAATGTATCTTGGTGTTCCCAGCACTTAGCTGGAAGATAGCAGATGAGGAATCAGTACTTGTGGGATGAATGAATGAATGGAGGAGTGGAGGCAAAGGTGATTTCCCTAGAGAGGCCTTGGCTTCCTGGGCAGGGATGGAGACAGCCCTGGGAGACCTTCTGAGAGGATGCGCCTGCGGGCGCCTCAAGTTGCTATTCAATAAAGTAATAAAAAGACTTAAGAGTGAGGTAGCTTTGTTGGTCAGAGACAATTTGATCACAAAAAGCTGAGTCCTTCTCAACTTGAAAAAAAAGGAAAGGAGGCCTGGGTATGTTAGAAAGCACCCATCTCTCATGGAAGCCACAGTCAGTGTCTCCATCTGTTCAGGCTGCGGTAAGAGGAGCTAAGACTGGGTGGCTTATAAATGACAGAAATATATTTCTCTCAGTGGTAGAGGCAGGGAAGTTCAAGATCAAGGTGCTGGCAGATTCAGAGTCTGGTGAGGACTGGCTTCCTGATTCAGACACTGGATCTTCTCACTGGTGGAAAGGGAGAGGGAACTCTCTTAGGCCTGTTTCACAAGGTCATTAATCCCATTCAGGAGGGCTCTGCCCTCATGACCTAATCACCTCCCAAGGACGCCACATCCTAATACCATCACTTTGGGGGTGGGGTTTCAACATATGAACTGTGAGGGGACACAAACAGTCAGACCACAGCAGTCAGAAAGATAGCCAGGCTGCTTAAGGTACCACAGTCACTCCTTGCCTCTCTGGGACTTGATGGATGATGGATGTGTGGCATCTATCACAGCTTCTCTTTGTGAACCTGCTTCGTTTCTCTTTCTCTGCTTTCTTGTGCATGTGGTGGAAAATGGATGCCCTGGTTCTGCCTTTCTGGTTTGAGCCCTCTGAGGCCGCCTGGAGCTCCTCTGTCCCAGTTACAACTCTAGGGCTCTGGGTCTCAGGCCTCAGCTACAGCCGCAGGTCACATGATTCACTGCCTAAGGATGGAGCTGGCAGGGGTGTGGGTGGGGGGCAGACTGATTGACAGCCACCAAGTGATGTTTTCTTAGTCTCTCATTTTCATAAAGTGAGTGCTGAGTTCACTAACTTAATTTTCAGACAGTTATTGAATGGTACAATTCTATTTATACTGAATTGAGATCATTTTCTTCTACTATTCTTTACAGTCCTGAAAAGCTTGTCTGTGCAGAAGAGAAATTTCCACTTTATAAAGTGAAAATGACTAGTGACGTAAATCCAACTGTTTTTGAAAGGCGGTTTTATTCCTCGAATATCAGCCAGGAGAGTAAAAGGCATGAGAAGGGCCTGGTGAGCAGAGATTGCGGGGGTGGTGCAGGCGGTGGGGATGGTACAGTTGTGTAACACCCGCCAGAGATCACTGACAGACCCCTCCCTCTCAGAGAGACTCCAAGGTCAGAGCAGGTGGTGGCCAAAGAAGGGGGTGAAAAAGAGGCAGCAGAGGAGGGCCTATTTCACTCAGAGGAAGTGGTGGGGTCTCCTCGAGCTCAGTTCTGTTGCAGATATGGGCCTCCTTCCACAGGACAGCCTTGGGCGAAGACACTCAGAAAAGGTGCAGGTTGTGGGGCCCTGGACCCCACTGTCTGGGGACAGACTGTGCCCTTCATAAGGTGAGAGACAACCTGCTCAGAGGGGATCCGCCCTCTAAGGTTTCCTCAGCTCTTTTTTTCTGAGTTTTTGCTCTCCTTCCATTTTCCTACCATTTACTACTTATTACATCCAAACTAGACCAGATTTTTGTTCTCCATAGTTTAGTCACAATAGGTAGGAATCTTTTGAAATGAAATTTATACTGAAAAAATTAGGGCAAAGTGATAGATAAGATATATACAACGCATAGACAGGAAGGGGAGTTCTGTGTGCGGATTTCCTGCCCAGAGCTCACAGCCCCAGGGCACAGCTGAGAGCTCAGCTTATCCCCCAAAGGTGCCTGGAAGATGTCAGCTGGGATGGGCCGGGAAATTCCTTCCTGTCCTTCCCCACCCCTCACCCAACTCTTCTCTTCTCCCACAGGCTTTAGGAACTGGACAGCACAGACCCCGCTCCTGGGCGGCAGAAGAAGGCCAGCAGAGGTGCAGTCACAGCCTGTGGACAGAAGAGTGATGACCGCAGAGGTCCCGGGGCAGCACCTGGCTGCCCTGCAGCTGGGAGACAGGTGAGGCGGCCGGGAACCGTGCCCCACAAGAGGCCATTTGTAATAAATGGTTTGCAGTATCTGCAGTTAAAATGCTGCCAACATTTCTTCTCTCCAGAAGTGGAATACTGCAAGGAATATCCAACTAATAACAGTTACAGTTTATCGAGCTCTGGTTGTAAATCAGGAACTGTGTACTTGGTATGCATTTAAAAGTTTTCCCAGCAAGGTAATACCCATCACGTGAAGTTCAGAGGTCCAGTAACTCACTCACGGTCAGCTGCCCAGTTTGAAGGTGGCAGTGTTCTCTAGCCCAGGTCTAGTCCCTCAGGTGCCAAAGCACACACTTATTCCCCAGGGCACACGCTCTCCTCGCAGCCACTTGGACTGTGTGATGTCAGTCAGGCTGCTCAGAACCTGGGTCCCCTTTCAGAGGGCGCAGCTACCCCACTCGTCTGCAGGGTACCATGATCCCAAAGGGCACAGGAGGGGCTTGCTGGGCACTCCTCCAGTGTGTGCCCAGTCCTTCCCCGGAAGCATAGGTAATCTCAGGGTGCACCCTCCCTTCCTTGCCTTTCAGAGAATCAGGCTCCTTTTTATCAGGCGAGAACGTGATTTCTTAAGGAGCAGAGCTGTGTTTCTTGGTCAACAGGGGCGACTGGAGTTGCTGGAAGTACTGACATAAACTATTCTTCTGTGATGTCATAGTCGTCTGACTCACCTCCTGCAGGCTTCTGTGTCCTAAATCTGACAAGAACATGGCACCAGCCACAGTTCATCACAGTGATAAAATCCCATAGTCCCAGCTATAGAATTATCCTATAGCTGTGGTCACAGCTTTTACACCTGCCTGACCCATCAGTGGCAGCCTTAAGATTTAAAGTCGGCTGGATATCAACCCACACTTGCCTTCTGATTCAACATGGCTCGACTCCCAGAACCTGTAAAGATCAGCAGTTTGCTTTGCTCGGTGTGGCTGAGCCTGACCAGCCCAGCTTTCCCTAAAGTAAGCAACATAACCAGTTGTCTCGGTTCAGGTACTGAGTGTCTCTTCCTTTGATACTGGGGCATATTTCTTTTAGCCAATCAGTGCCCAGGATCACTACCAGAATGATGGATTTTTTTTCACTTGAATATTCTGAATTATGTCGTCCAGTTTTTCTTTGTCCGGGATTATGTTTAGGCAGAAAACAGGGGCTATGATGGAGGCACATCTGAATCCTTTCTTTCTTTCAGCTGCCAGAGAAGACATGCTCCCTGAGAAATCAGGCAGGGCTCCTGCAGCCCCACATGACTCCTTCCAAAAGGCAGCTCTTTTCTCGGCTGTAGTCAGTAACCCAGGAATTTAATGTATAAGGGCTTCTTTTTTATCACTGTTCAGGACAGATTTTACACTTCAGAATCCAGAAGCCAAGTAAATGACTGTGGATGTGGCTCCAATAGGATGGGGAGCAGCGGGAGCGGGAGAGAGGGGTGCTTTGGAGCTGGACAGGCCGAGGGGCCCGGTGATGATCCTTAATACTTGTGCATTCCCTTCACAGCTGAGATCCCCCTGAGGTTTCTACTCAGCAAGGCAAGCAGAGGAGATTAAAAGGGGACAGTGTAGCTCCTAGAGACTCAGCTGTCAAAGAAACCAAACCCTAGAAACAGTAGGTATGTTGACCAGAGTCACAGAGTAAGTCAGTGGCAGCCAAGGCAAGGCTCTGGGGCTCCTGCCTGCTCCCTCTGCACATTCTGTCCTGGGTGTTTCTTACTGTTGCAGAAAGGAAATCTGGTTTCGTTACAAGCAGTCCCTGAAATCACCTTTTAAAAAGGCCTTTCACATAGACAGTAAATCAGTCAGGCTTTGAAGCTACATTCATAAACTTATATTTTTATTCTCTTTCTGTACATATTGGCAATGATAAAGCTTAAAGATGCATGTCCTATGACATAATGCAAAACAAGGGATTTACATAAATAATTTATACTTCAGAAAGTTAAAAGTTGAAAAATATTTTCCGCATCATTAAGAGTTCACAGTATTTAAAGTAGATCAAGCTTTCTCCCTTAGATTTCAAACTCTATTGTCTCAGCAGAGAATGATAACATCTAGTCAGGAATAAAATGCTCAAGTTTCTGTTCCAGTGCACGAGTGGACACTGTTTCCATAGCAGGCTGTTCCCAGGCTGAGGCTGCAGCGTTTCTTGCCAGTCCTTCTCCTCCTGAGTGGCTACGGCCCAGCGGGGGCCACACGGTGTGGAATGGTTACAGCGTCACCCAAACCACCCACAGTGGACACATTCAACCAAGTGGTAACGTCTGGTGGTCTGATGCCTCATTTCCACATAATACTTTGTATAGCCCTGAAAATGGAAACCTTGGCATCCAAACACAGCCGAACACGTTCACACTAATACAAGGCACTGTGCTATGGGGTTTGGTTTATTTCTAGGAAAGACCGTGTTTGCATAGATTGCGAGCAATTTAGTGTGCAGTAAAACAGAGGCCCCAGCGCGCACGGCCTTGTGACGGATGAAGCTGCGTGACACTCCTCCGGCTCAGGGGCAGCACCGCTTGTCTTCTCTGGCCCCAGCCCAGTGGGCAGATCCTTGAGGCCCCTACAGGAGAGTTTTCTGCTCAAAAAGCTGCAGGTCAAAGCGGACCCAGACCTCCCCGGTGGGGACCTCGTGCAGCAGGAGTCGGCGGGTTGTAGGGCCTTTGCTTTCCTGTTCTGTTCGAATTTTTGCCACTGGAACTTCAGTGCGACCCAGGAAATCTAGTGAACAGACACGAGTGTCAAAAGTCTTCTTTAAAAGACTGTTAAAAAAAACTATCCCGGGAGGAGTCTCTGAAGCAGGATTCATAAAATATTTGCATCCAAAACAAGTAACTCCTTTTGGTTAATGGCTGTTGGAGACTGAGTGGATGGATATGTGCAAACAAGGGGTCTGTGTGAAGGAAGCTGCCTCTGGGGACCCCAAGCCTCGTTGGTCAGGGAGTGTCTCACCCGTTCAGCAGGTGCCAAGAGCATAGCGTTTCCATTAGGTAAGCAGGGGTGACAGGGTGGGAGACTTGACACACACCTGAGGCCACGCACCCCTTGCCCCTGAGAAGGGGCCCCACCTGTGGCCACTGAAAGCTCTGAGGGCCATGGGCTGTATCACTGCCCTTAGGCATTCCAGACCCCGGATCCTCGTGTGTGGGGACCTTCATACCCCTCCCTGAGTTATACTTTACCGTCTGGTGAAAACTGATCTCTGTCGAACATAGTGAGACACAGCACATCCTGATAGAGGTCCTTAATGAAGAACTGGCAGTTAAAATTCCATTTGGGATTCAGTGTGTCCTGGAGGGTTCTAGTGGTGTAGCTCTGGGAGCCCATGCTGATTTCACAGTATGGATTGCTCTTTCCTGAATGAAAACAAACAAAACATGTGGCATGTGATGGACGGGCCTTCCTCGAGCAGAAGCGGATGTGGTGTTTCTCTACAGACCATGGCCTGTGGTCTCCATTCCCAATGCTGAGAGCATCATAAACTTGGGGAGGAACCAACCGTGTGGGCTTGAGCAGGGCCACTCCCCACGAGCAGGTGTCAGTTCCCCCTGCTTCCTGCTTTCTCCACTCAGAAGCACCAAGGGAGGAGGCATCAATACCCTCTGGGAAAATAGAGGAAGAATAATTTTGGCCCAATAACCATTTTAGTGGCACTGGAAATACTGACTTTTAAAAAGTGTCCCATTATTCAGTGTACAGAAGAGTCATCAGCAAAGAGCGGGTCTGTTACCACATCTGTTGAATGAAAGAAGCATTTACCGTTTGGTTTACAAGCTTTCAGTTCTGTAGCTTCAATGACATGCACCATCAGACGCCCGATGCCTGAAGACTTCTGAGAGCGAGCTACAAAAGAGGAAGATGAGTGACGTTAATTTCTTCTCTGAGAACACAGACAGTGTAGCTATGGCGCTAAGCTGTAGATACAGTCTGCCTTTCTAACCAGCCCCAGCACTCCCCAGCCATGCCTGCCACCTGAGTCGGAACCGGCAGACCAGCCATGAGGCTGCTCTGGGCCTCCGCCCAGGCTGTGTCACCTGCTAGGACACCTGGCGGCCATCTCTGCCCGTGGGCAGCCTATGTACTCTTAAACACACAGGTCCAGGCTCACCGTGTATCATATAGGCTGCCCGGTTTGCAATTCTGGGTCAGTCCATCCCCTCTTCCAGAGGCCATGGTGGAGTGCAGGTTTTTTAAATTCATCCTTGTGTTAACCCCTCAACTGCCTGGCAAGTAGTGATATTCATAAAATCATATTATATTTATTCAGCACTTAGAAGCAGCTACCATTTATTGGATACTTACTTTGTGTTAGGCATTTAAATAAGTTATATTATTTAAACTGCAATGTTTACTCTACAAGGTAGCTCTTTATAACCGCCATTGTCATATATGAGGAAACGGAGTCTTAGAAATGACTGTAACATGTTTATGTCACAGAGTCTCTAAATGACGTTTTAAAACTTAAAACATCAGACACCAAAGTCTACTTTCTTAACCACTCATCATAATTCCAATTACATGTAAACACTTTAGCTTATAACTTTTACTTAAGACCTTATTCTATTTAAGGAGGTACTCAAAAACTTTTAATATGGGGAGAAATGAGTTAGTGAACTCAGATTTTCTTGGTAAATGTAAAGATAGTTAAGCTGGGTTTGCTCCTAGGGGTTTAAAAACTAAAGGAAAGCTGCTTGGTGAGCTCCTGACTTTTCAAAATTCAGGGCAAGTAGAACTTTCTCTGTGAGAAGCGACTCATCCCCTGTGTGTGCCCTCCCACCCAGGAGGCCCTTGCATTCAGTCTCCTTGAAGGCGGGGCTGGGCCGTATTCATTTGCAGACTCAGTTAAGCCTAGCACAGGGCCTGGCACAGAGTAAGTAATCAATAAATGTCTAAGAATTGAACACGTGGAGAGTGCATAAACATACGTACAGATACTGCTGTGAAGCAAAACTAGTAAAGAAAAACTTGATTTATTTTTCACCAATTAAGAGATCATTGTATGCTTTCTGAAAAGCTTCAATCATTGATTTTTCAATAGCAAGACTTTAAAATACCATTAAAATAGGATTCAGTTAGCAGAAGCCAATTTACACATACCTTTCAGGAGTATGTAACAAAATAAGGGAAACCTGAATAAAAAAACATAAAGAGCTGCAACTCCAGCAGCCAGGAACACAAGTGGGAGGACTGGTCAGGGAAGGGCCTCGTGCCACAGCCTGGTGGCTCTGCCACCATGAGAGGACAGGACCAGACAGAGAACCATAGAGAGGACCATAGAGAGAACATGTGGGACTTGGCAGCTGACTAGAGAGGCCTGGGGGAGGGGGGTGTCAGGGGGCACGTTTCCAGTGCATGGCCAAGGACAAGAGCTGTCCCCTGAGTGTCTCTGGAGGAGCTACTTCTGGGGGGGGGGGGCGGGGGTGGTGAATTAATCCCACGGGAGGGGTGCAGCAGGCGTGTCCGGAGAGCATGGGCTGGAGAGAGCAGGCCGGCTGCAGCCACTGAAACCACCACAGAAGCATGGTGACATGAGCTGGGGAGGCTCAGAGCCAGGGCAGGACTCAAGGGGTACAGGGGAAGGAAGCAGGGCTAGGAGGGAGAGGAAGAAAGAAGACAGTGCTGGGAGGAGCCTCTGGGGTGTCATGGGGGCCTGGGGAGGGAGGGACCAATTTCCTGCTGTCGTGGGTGGGGGGTGGTCGCTGGTCACATGAGCAGGCTGCCTGCACAGGGTGAGGGGACAGCAAGTGAGGGAGAGGGGGAGACCTAAGGTCCCCAACCGGGTGTAGGGAGAGGGAGGATGGGTGGGTCCCCAGGAGGGGCCGGAGTACAGGCTGGGCCAGAGAGGAGGAGCAGGGTGCCTAGGAGCTGATGGGAATCTTCACAGAGGTGAAGTCTGATGGAGCAAAAGGGACCAAGAGGAGGTGGGGCTGGTTATGTGAAGGTCAGACCCTTCTGCATGGAAACAAGTGAAGAATAAGTATGCAGGGAGGAGGGGCAGAGACTCTGTGCCACAGGGGCATCTCGGGGCTTGTGCTGGACAACCCCCATCTGTGTAGTAGGCAGTGGCGGGGCTCAGGAGGCCCCCAGGAGTTTTGAAATGGCTGTGGGGGACGTAGTGGGCAGCAAGTCTGGTCTTTCAGGCTGTCCCTGTTTAGTCCCTCTCTGCAGCCTGGGCTCTGAAGTTGGGACCCCACCCAGTCCCCAGGGCACCCTGGTGTGGCGAACTGCAGCCCTCCAGGGCACCACCGACTACCTTGATAGGCCTTCTCCCGCTTCTTCTTCTCCGTGTCGATGTACTGCTCAGACGCCGCCTTGATCTTCTGGACCCAGGCCGTCCTGGAGGAGAAGCAGAGCGCAGCCCTCACACACCTCAGGGTCACTGGAAGCCCCAGAGCTCCGCACTCGTCTTTGAGAGCTTCCTAACCATAGACCTAGCGTGAATTCAACTGAAGGGCTCGTTTGCTCGTTGAGGATCAAGCTGAGAATTTCTAGACAGTTCTTGGTGGCACCAGGCACTTGTCAGGTGCTGGGCGCAGGGAGAGGGAAGATGCAGTGACAGCTGAGCATGGCAAATGACGGGCTCTGGTCCCGCAGAGGAGGAGCTGCACCAGAGGGGAGGGCACGCGGCTGGCTGGGCAGCGAGGGAGGAAGGCTCCCAGCAGAGGGCCATGGGGGAGGGCAGAGCCCCGGCCGTAGTGCAGGGGCCTGTGCGGTGCCGGGAAGGGAAAGGAGGGCCTCAGCAGGCGAGGGAGCACAGGCTGCCCCTGAGGGGTCGCGGCAGGAAGTGAGGTGTTGGTCTCCCCCTTCAGAAGACCCAGGACACACCGGAAGCAGAGACGCGTTAGAGGTGTTTGTGTTCACCAGGCTGTCTAAACCCAGGCCTGCCAGTGGGATTGGTGGAGGCGGGGATTAGTAGGGTGGGAGTACAGACTGGAGGTGGGTTATGGCGGAGGGAGAGGTCAGGCTTTCTCCTGGGCCTCAAGGCAGGTCACACATGTGGTCGAGACTGACCTCTCGTTAATGTTGTCTGTTCGAAGGGTGTAGACCCGGTCAATGTGAGAGATGTGGAAGACAGGCTCATCGCTGGAAGGGTCTGTGGGCAGTTTCACCAAGGCTTCATTCAGGAAAATGGGCTGAAAGAATAAGGGCCAAAACACAGGCTGTGAAATGGGTCGGAACCCTCCACCCACTTATATCCAGAGCCTTGTCTGTCCTGAAGAGTCTTGCTGAGCAGTGGAGAGGGCTCTAGCTTCCAGAGTATTTTACCCAGGAGAAAAGAAACTGCCTCCTGTTTCAGGAAAGTAAATATCTGGGGTTACCAGCTGTTACTAAAGTGGGGACAGAAGCACAGAGTGTCTGTGACTGCTCTCGTGACAGGGTCTCTCCACAGGCCCTGACACTCGGCCCTTTGAGTCAGCCTCGGTTTCACAGAGAGACCCGATGCTGAATGTGGACGGAGGCGGGACTGCCCGTTGTGTTTGCTGGGGAAGAAGCTGGAATCCACGGAGGCTGTCAGAGGGTAGTGAAGGCCCAGCCACTCTTGGCTTCCTCCCTGGGAATGACATGGAGGCATGAGCTATCTGGAGGCAGGTGAAGAGTCCCCTGAGGATGGGAAGGGCCCAGGCCAGGAAGGAAGTAGTCCCTGAAGGGAGAGGAAACACCTCATTATGTGCCTGATGCTATTGCCAGGACATTTACCGTCTTATACATCTTGAACTGAGCGTTAGACTTCGAGCTGAAAAGCTTCTCGGAGGCTGAGGAGACCGCGAACTGCTTGACCATGTAGGTGAGAAGCAGGAAGTCGTTGAAGAGGAACCCGTGCAGCTCCTTGTTGCTCTTGGTCTTGTACAGCTTTCCGCTGTGCAGCAGCTTCCGGGGCCCCAGGCAGTTGGTGAGGGAGTTGAAAACAAGTTGCTTAAAGAGAGAAGAAGGTGTCACTTTGCAAGTCCCAGCATCCCTGGCAAGGTCCTGGGCCTGAGGGAGGGGCGGCAGACCTCTCCAGTGGGAATGTGGCTGTAATCATTTACCTTCACACAGAAGCTCCTTACATTTATTTCTCTTCAGAGTTCAGACTGGCACAGTGAAAAAGATTACTTAGAAACCCACAGAACACTACCAGCTGAATTCAAAGAACACAAAACATAAATCTCTCTATGAGAAAGGACAATGACAACCCAAGATGTGGGCAGGATGCTGAGTCTGTATGGGCTGAGCTGAGGGGCAGACTGTCTACACTAGGAGAAGGCATGAACCTGGTTCCCCACCCAGAGCTTGCCGGGCGGCACCCAGCTCAGGCCCGTAGCCCTCACCTCCGCAAGCCCGTCGCACTGCACGTGTGTCTGGATCCACTCCAGTCGGTCTGAATTTTCCTTCTCCCGAACTCCTTCATTCACTTGAGAGCAGAGCTCCTCTGCCCGCTCGAGGGCCAGCTTCAGAGAGGAGTGGTCTACATGATTCTCTGGGGTGTTCTCCAGAATCTGGAAGAGAGGGGCTGTGTCATGTGGGATGTCTTATGTCTTCCACCTGCCCCACCAGCCCAGGTGCTGGATGCTGGGAATACAACAGTGAGCAAGACAGTTGTTCACCCTTGAGAGGCTCAGGGGCCCATGAGTTCTTGGGGAGACAGGTGATTCAGGGACAAGAGGGTGGGCCAAGTACTACATGGACCAAGTGCCCTGGACTCTGGGTCTCTGCTGGCTCTCTGCCTGGGTCTGGGGGAGGTGTAAGGGTGCCTCCCTACTTCCTCCCAGTAATCCAGGTGAACCCTCCAGTATAAACTGGCTGCACCTTTGATAAGTGTGTTAATTTGCTGCAACCATTCATTATATTTTTGGGGGTCACTGATCTTTCTGAAAAATCTGCTGAAAGCAGTGAATCCCCTACCACAGGATAAAACAATAAAACAATGATGTCAGCATGTAGGAAAATGCACTCATCTCATTCTGAAGTGACTCTACATTCCTGAAGGTAAAAGGATAGAGAATGCATCTTTGTGTGGTTGCTTGGAAATGGGCTGGCCCACCAGTAGACCACTGTTGTCTGGCTTCATGGGTTCATGGTCCCTCATTCATAATCACAAAATGTGAAAAACTCTGAAAGCCTAATGCTTTTTTCATTACTCATTTGATGGCAAAGCCTGACTTAAACTGAAGAGATGTACGAATTAAGTCTATGTCTAATGATTATTCATTAACTTCCCTTCAGACTCTTAACATGTTAGTCATCAGTGCTGCCCAGGCTTTGCTGGGGTATCATGTAATACACAGCATTTGAATTATATTCTGTATTCTAAAAAACATCTGGCCCCAAATATTTCAGGTAAGGGATTAACTGTGGATTAATGTGTATTAATGGGTCCGTCTGGTATCAGAACTGTGACATTAGTTCTGTATTAGTTTGATGTGGCTAATTAGTTCTGACAGGGTCTAACATGGCTTACAGACTGGTGGTCAAGACATAATAAAAGCAACAGTCTTATATTATTTCTACTGTGTTTCTTTGTAAGATGACTGAAATTACCTCAATGATTACATGCGGAATAATCCTTTGAAGGTCTGCCTTCTCCTTAGATGGTTTATTGGCTCAAGAGGCCCACATGGTGTCAAAAAGGTGAATGGAATTTTAGAGGGACTGTGTGGTCAGCAAGCTGAGGTGGGGACCTCAGTGAGGGGACGTGTCTAGGACACTGAGTTGGAGACTCCTGGGATGTCCAGGTTAGGCATTTAGTTGGCAGATGACTTCAGATCTCAGGGGGAAGACGACCCCAAGGTTGTGGGACTAACAAGGGACTCTGGGCTCAAGATGGGCTCCACAGCTGGAGACCTAGAGGGTGTTGTTCTGTCTAGACAATATACACTCATGACCCTGAGAGGCCAGAAGCTTCCTGGGAAGGGGGAGGACAAGTAACCCAAATGATCCTGGATATGTCTTTTATTTGCCTATGTCCAGGATTTATCCCTTCAGACTACATGTGTGTGTGTCTGTGGGCGCACACACACACACACACACACACACACACACTTGGTGCCTGGTGCATCAGACATGGAGTCAGACCATGTGGCAGGTGGCTGGAGTGCTTGGAGGCTCCCTGACCGTCAGCCTTGAAGGACCCTGCTTCTCCCCACTGGACACTCACGCTTCTGATGAGGAGTGGGTAGCGGGTGATCCTCTGCATGGGCTTCAGCAGGAAGCTGGAAAGGGGCATCCCTTTACACCGAGGGTCAGATGCCAACTTCTGCAAAATAACTGAGAGGCTCATGAGGAAATCAGAGGCTAAGAAAAGTGAGGGAACACTGGAACTACTCCTTACTTTGACATCTTTCAGATTTTGAATTTCTTTTAAAAACTCAGGATCCAAAATGATACCCATCAATTTAACAGTAGGAATATCCCACCTCATGAGTCAGACCCTGCAAATACTTTCAGTTCTTTCTTAAGGTGGATTTGACAGGCTGTGCGAGCCTTCCCTCTGTTACTTCCAGGACCATGCTCTCTCAGCTGTCTTCCCAGTCCAATGACCTCAGTCTTCCTCACTCCTTTCTTCTTTCCCCACAGTCTCCCACAACTGAGTCTCACAGTGTAACCCAGACCATCAATGGAGCTGAATTATTCTCCGTTTCATCTGATGTTCCAAAGGCACCTCAATACCTCAACACACCTCAAGGTGAAGTCCTCGTCTTCTGTCATGAAAGCATCACCATCTACCTCTACTTCTATCGGACTTGGTGGCGTCGTTCTGCACCCACCCACCTCCTCCCCACACACCTAGGAGTCACCACTAACGCCAGTCTGTCTTCTAAGCAGCTCTTGATCTCCCCCACCTCTGGCTGCTCATTGCTGGGCTTCATCAATGACAATACCATTTACTGAGCACCTAGCTGAGTCAGGCTGACCCTGTCCTACTGCTTTTTCTTCACTTGGCTAATTCACACTCATCTCTGAAGGCTCAGATTAGCCTCCTCCACTCCAGGGTCTCCTCTCCCTTCCCGTGATCCTTTTCAAGCCCCTATGGCTTTCTTTATCATCACGCCATATCTGGACTGAGTAACAAAGGTAGAGGTACCATGTTTGAGTGTCTCTATGACCTCCCATTCAGACTGTAAACTCTAGGAGGCCAAGGACCACATTTATTTGATTCTACACCTAGGAGTAGTACAGGATCTAACAGAGTAGCTAGTACTCTAGGATGATCATTTTTAACAACTGAAAAGTAACACATTTACTATAATTTACCTAATTATTCCCCACTTTAAAAAACCGCCCCTCCTTCTGTTTTTGGATATTCTATGTTTCTAAGATAAACATCTTCATGCTCTTTATTTTGATATCTTCTGAGTGTTTTTTAAAAAGCATCATTTTAGAACATAGCTTGTTAGATCTACTTTTCATGTAATCAACACCATCCCTTTCATTTAGAGACTAAACACTTTTTATTTTTGCTACTGTTACAATCGTGGTGATACTGATGTCCTATTTACACTGCTACTTTTATCACTATTTGAAAAAAAATTAAATCTTTTACTATGATTTGGACAGCAAGGAGATCCAACCAGTCTATCCTAAAGGAAATCAGTCCTGAATATTCACTGGAAGGACTGATGCTGAAGCTGAAACTCCAATACTTTGGCCACCTGATTCAAAGAAATGACTCATTTGAAAAGACCCTGATGCTAGGAAAGACTGAAGGCGGGAAGAGAAGGGGATGAAAGAGGATGAGATGGTTGGATGGCATCACCAACTCAATGGACATGAGTTTGAGTAAACTCTGGGAGTTTGTGATAGACAGGGAGGCCTGGTGTGCTGTAGTCCATGGGTCACAAAGAGTTGGACACGACTGAGTGACTGAACTGAACTGAGAAGGTAAATGTCCTATATTTAATATTACAATTGATAATTTAAAAACATTCACATATACTCATAATTCTACATTTATCTAATTATTCTGATTAATGTTTCTGTGATGTTGGGTTTCTTTCTATGCTTCTTCTAGTTCATTTCCAGGCAACCCCTTGCCTCCCACCAATTGAAGGGTTCTGTCCTCAGTGCTTTATATTGAACCATTTTTGTATTCCTGAGATCATAGTAGGATAAATAAATAACATTAGCATTTACTGAATGCTTATTATGTGCTGGTCTCTGTGCTAAAGTATTTTAAAAGTAATATCTGATTATCTCCAGGTTACAGATGAAGGGACTGAAGGTACCAAGTGTTAGGAAACTAGCCCCAGTTCCTTAGTGAACTGTGTTGGGGCTGGGATTTCAGCCCACACAGCTGAAAGTCTGTCTTATTACAAGCATGATATTGTGTTGCCTCCTGGAATGATCCGATTTGGTTATGTAAGCTATTTTATATTCTTCCTTTGAATAAGACAGGTATAAAAATAAAAACAATTTACAAAATTAAGAAAGTGACATTCTGGATGCTTTTTGGAGTAGAAAGTAGCTGATTTACATTAAGTAGGCTTAAAAAAACACTGCTATTCAAGATGGGCAAAATAATGGTCCCAGAGCCAAGAAAAAATTCAATTCAACAGGAAAGGCAACTCAAAGCAATCAGAAAATTCTCTGCCATATTTGTGTTTCCCCCCATGGACAGAGGAGCCTGGTGGGCCAGTCCATGAGGCTGCAAAGAGGCAGACACGACTAAAGCAACTGAGCACACACAGAAAGTGATGGTCATACCCGTCTCTACTCTTGAGGCCTCCCAGAGGCCTCCACATGCCTCTGCCTCCTGGCTCAGAACAGTGCTGGCCTGCCTACATTTGCAGGATGGAGTTACCTTTAAAAATTCTTTGAAGTCCGCGTGTTCATCTGTCTTCTGCTGTAACAGGGCTGCTCCATTAAGCTGACAGCTGCAGAAGCGGATGTAGGCCTGCATGTGGGACAGCTCAGCGGCCAGGATGTCCCCAATCATGTGCACGGGCATCTTCTCACCCCCGGTCTTCTTCCGAACCCGCAGTGCCCTGCAACCAACATACTCTTTCTCACTTCTTATTTAACTGAGTGTCCGTCGCCAATGAACAGTGAATATCTTGGGAGACTAACAATAATAATGGCCAGCGAGTTACCTAAAGATCTCTAGAACCATGGGGGAAAAGTCAGGAGGAGGAGGCAGTTAGGAGCTAAAGCTCTGCCTGCCCAGCCAACCTGGGTGAACTGTGAGCAAAGAAGAAAATGAAGACTGCGCTTGGGTGTTCCTCGGTGTTTGTAACTGGTTTGGTTTCAGCTTAGTTTCTTAGCAAAGTTTCTTTTGAAAGTTTTCTAACTTGTTTTAAGCTGAACCAAGAAGAAAGAAACTTCTCTTCTCTGCAGGAGAAATATGGGAGCAAGAGTCCGCAGAGGTGGGGTGTGGAGGTGAAGGTGTCGGTGGATATTGTGCCCAAAGAGCTGCTAAAGCTCAAGGATCGGGGAGAAGCAGCGAGTGTGGGATGACTCAGAGCTCCCCTGGAGCCTGTCCTTGTGGGCGGAAGGGACGGAATTTCACACTGGGCTTAGAGAACTGCCAGTCCAGCTGCTCATGTCTGGGTCATAAGCTGCGGCTTCTCTCCTGACTCTAGCTGATACAGAGTCAAGTATGGTTTGGAATCATATGTTAATATATTATTTAATAACTTCATTTTTTCTTTACTTAATCAAATATTTTCTTATATTTTGCTTCAATAATGATGTACTTTACAGTTAGCATTTCATAAAATAATAATAGAAAGCCTGAGGGAGCGGAAAGCAGTGGAAATTCTTTAAGCAGCTCAGTTGCAGGGAGTGAGGTGGGAGTCTTGGTCCCAGGGCTGGGGTGGCCACTGCCACCAAAGGCGGTGCTCACGACTCACTTCAGCAGCTTCGTGTTAGCCATGATGAGCTCCTTCCAGTTAACAAAGATCAAGGCCATTTCTCCTTCAGTGAGAAAACCTGGCTCTGTCATTCGTTTCTGAAAAACCTAGATTCAGAACAAGAAAAGGAAGTCAACTCTAGGGCAGTACACAGCCTGTGTGGTCTAAAGGAAATGGTATCTTTGTACACGGAAACCAGGAAGAGCAAGGTACTTTTATATAAACATACACAGACTGTTGAATTTTAAATTGCAAAATTTCCCTATGTTTTGCTATTTCAGCTCCTATCAGGGCTGATTCTGAGGACTGAATCCAGCAGTCCCATCAAGGAGAGTCTCATACCCACCTCCTAGGGGTCTTACACAGGTTAATTAAACTGCAGGCATAAAGCACCCCACACCAGGAGGGCCTGCAGAACTCAGGGAGCAGGACTGTTGTCAGACTGCACCACAGGAGTCTGGTAGCAGTTAGTGAGAAGTGCAGCAAAAGAAACAGCGATGCCTTACCTCAGCCCCAAGACTGACCACCAAGCACATGTGGATTTCAGAGGCTTGCTGACCGAAGGGGATGTGATAACTCTTTACACTGGTAAGCCAGAGAACTTAAGGTTTCACAAAGTTCTGATATGCACACACACATATACATGTGTGTGTGCATACATGCACATGTGTGTGTAGGTTTCTCAGTTAACTTCACTGATGATGATGTAGGTCATGCTGAGTCAGGTATTATTATTCCCAACTGACACATGAAGAAATGAAGGCTGAGTGACGTCCTCAAGGTCACAAAGCTAGTTTCCACTAAACAACTAGGGAACGACTTTAAAAGCCTTAAGGAAATGGTGACATCATCTGCGACACCTCTCCTCATGTGTAATCTCTACAAAATACATGTGACATTACTCTATTGAAACTGTTCTAAACTGATGTTTATAGCATTGAGTTGAACCTGGAGTCCAAGAACTCGGATAAAAGTCTATGGACTGATATCTCTAAACCTCTATGGTTTCAGAGTCAGATGGAAGATGTCTGGATGCTCCTATGGGAGAGAGACCTGGAGACAAGGTCACTCTGCTCTGAGGTGCTCTGGAAGGACAGGGAGAGCATCTGATTGTCTGTTCTTTCATCTCCAGATTGACTTGCATTACTGTTTATGCCTTTTGTTGACTGGCTTAGCATCAGCCTCAGTCAACAGAGGAGCAGAGGAGGATGTGGTGGCCGGGTCCTCTTAGAGGGGGAATGCTGATGAGAATGCTGTCCACTTGCCTGTGGACAGTGCTTTTCACCCTAAACTCCTGACCCCGACTTGATGCTTCACCCCTGAGAGGGTCTTATGAGGTGGCAGAGTGGTTTTCCAAACTGATACAAACATTAGAGGAACACTCCCACTGCCTCACAACTCCATTGCAAAGAACTAAACTTTATGAAAATGTCAGAAATGTCAGGTGTCAGAGTGGCAGTGCAGATGTCGTGAGAGAAAAGTCTGAGGCGGCACGTTTGCTTCAAGCCTTCCCACCCACCCTGCACCCTTGTCCTTCCTGACAGGGCCACCTTACAGCCGACTGAGGTACCGAGTGCCTCTTCTCTCCTCATTCTGAATGACCTAATCTGACAGCAAGAGCTGACTTGAGACTGTGAAGGCCCCTCCAACAGGCAGAGGAAGCATTCTGAGGGTGTGAGAGTGCCTGTTGCTGCTGGTAACTTCACTATCAAAGGCGACACCTCGGTACGAGCCCCCACCCCATAAGGAGCCGGCAGACCCTGGCGCCCTTACCTCCACAACGAGCTGCAGGTCATCCACGTACCGCTCCTCCGTCTCAATCAGCTCGTGGATATAGCCCTGCCTCTTCCTTTCCACCGGCTGCATGGTGTCCAGTGTTTGGAGATCAGCACACCCTGTGGAAAAGGAGGGTAGAGTTTCAAAGTATTATTTTCGTCTCCTGGAAGGAAAGAGACATCTACTGGCAGGATGCACTGAGTCTACAAATATTGCCTCCAAAGAATCCCATGGCCAGCCAAAGGGCCCTGGGACCCGGGAGAGGCAGAGCAGTGTACACCTGCGGAAACTGGATTCACCATTGGCCCCTCAGCGCTCCAGAGCCGCAAATTAGCAACGCCTGTAACGGCTCAATGTGGCTTGAATGTCTTTCTAAGCAAATCATGACAGAGTGAAGGATTTTCAGAAACAGCCTCAAAGAGGCCATAAACTGTGCTGAGCTTGTGAAGAACCTATGCTATTCTCGCCATCTCAACACATTTTCAAACTATTGTAATAATTAAAGGAGTCAAATGCTTGAGAACAGTGTTTTCCAAATTGCAGGTCATGAGCCATTTGTGAGTCATTCTATCAAGTGATTTTTTAAGCAGAAACAAAACAAAATTAATAAATGAATTGAAGTTACCATGTATACAGGGGGCTTCCCAGGTGGTGCCAGTGGTAAAGAACCTGCCTGCCAATACAGGAGACATAAGAGACACGGGTTTGATTCCTAGGTCAGGAAGATCTCCTAAAAGACGGCATCGAAACCCACTCCAGTGTTCCTGCCTGGAGAATCCCATGGACAGAGAAGCCTGGCGGGCTACAGTCCACAGGGGTGCAAAGAGTTGGACACTACTGAAGTGACTTAGCATGCACCACATAAACAGGATCAGTAAGTATTATCCTGAGAAAATTTTCAGTTAGGTATGTATTTGTGGATGTAAAATGTAGCTTCTTATTGTGAGCTGCTGTTTAAAAAGTGTTTGAGAAACATTTCTCTAGAATTCCCAAAGTTAAGTGCTCAGTGAGGAAACCTAAAGTGCCCAGAACCCAGCGGTTCCCAGCAGGAACACTACCTCAAACGAGGAACAAAGAACTGGTGGTTCGGGCTACCCTGCAGCCACAGAGCTTGAGGGCAGCCCAGGGCAGTCTTGCGTGGCGTCAGGGTGAGAAGTACCGCATTCACTTCAGATCAGTGTAGAGGCTGAGCTCAGCGTCAAACTGAAGTGATGTTAATCTCAAGAGTCGTGGGGTTAGAAACTGAAGGCTTGGCTTACGCACAGGAGGGGAAAGGCCTCATAAAGTGCTTATCAGACAAAAAGAAAAAGCAGGTAGGGGCCCCGCAAGTGAAAGCAGTGGGCAGTCGCGGTATGTGTCCGAGAGGGAGACAGGAGGGCAGCAGGAAGGTCTGGGGAGTGAGGCCGCAGGAGCAGGCGCAGCTGCCAGGGGCCTCTGCAGACGGCGGAGTTTGGATCGAGGCAGACGCCCCGCTCAGGGACAACTGCACAAAGCCACAAAGGTGGAAAAGGCCAGGATCAGACCAGGCTTTTAAAGGAGGTTCTCTTTCTGACTGCTTTGAAATGTTTATGTGTTTTGTAGAGACTGAGCCTTACGAGAGTTCTCGTGAAGACAGCTATTCCACTTTCTGCACATGCTGCCGACAGCTTAAAAAAATTACTCCCACGGTCAAACAAAAATTGAATGAAGGCAGGTTCTGTTTGGTGGTACCAAGAAGAGAGCACAGTACCACTGTCATGCTCAAATTTCTCAGGCTTTACTGGGGACTGTGTTTCACCCTGTTCTGCCAGGCGGACCTGCACGAATGAGCAAGAACTGGGGACAAGCAAGGCTAACTCGGGTCCCTGCCTGCCCCGGCTCTGCAGCCAGGAGGCTGATGCCCGGGACAGTGCTGCTGATCGCCCGCACCCCGCTGGCTCTGGGAGAAGCAATGGCAACAGTTTCTAAGGCTGCTCTGCCTCTTCGCTGGTGGTTTACAAATCCTGGTCATTCATATTCTGCCACGTTCACATTCCAGCTCTACTATTACTTAGATAACATTTTTGTCCACGTTTGAGCTAAATACCTAGGGAAGTCATGGGTTTGATGTGCTGGTTATGTTTCTTCCAACAGTCACCAGCAGAAACATGTAACCATTAACATAAGTTGAATTTTCCTGGGCCCTCTTTTTGCATGCCATTGTGTTGGGCACCAACAGGATATCACACTTAAGGAAAGAATGATTTATGTTAAAACCTGCACGCATCGGCCTGTCTGTTCAGTGTCTATGAACAAGAGGAATAGTCTCAGGTAGTTTATTGTTTCTAAAGCTGGAACATACATGACGTTAGCTTCATCAGGATGAGTGTGGGACAATCCTTGTACTAACATCCTAGCTGACATTTGTGCATTTCATTACTTATGGTTCTTAAATGTTTATCCTCAAAATTTCTAACCTGACCCCTACCATCACTTTCAGATGCTCTTATCTCTGACGTCAGGGAAAAAAAACAAATACAAGCATGATGCCCCTTTAACTTCCCGTCTGTGTCAGGGGCCAAGAGGATCCTACTTTTTCCAGAAGCCAGAATCCCTAATCCACCCTCTCTGGCAGGACCCTTCCCAGCCCTTCCACATCCACTTCCAGTCCTCAGTGGCCCCTCCAGTCTATGAACACAGTCATGTGTCCCTCCTACCACAATATTTACAACAAACACACACGTTCCTTCAACGCTGCTCCCTCCTCAGACACCCGTCTCTAGTCTCACTGCCAAATGGCTCTAGAGGGGTCTGTCATTCACTCCCCCCAGCCCCAGCTCTCTCTGTCACCTCTCCAACTTAGAGTCACTGGCTTCTGTCCCACTGCTCCACTGACACTGCTTTTTGCTTTTGTTTTCTAACTTTTTGTTTTATATTGGAGAAGAGCCAGTGCTGCTGTGATAGTTTCAGGGACTCAGTCATACATAAACATTGTATCCTTTCTCCTCCAAACTCCCCTCCCATCCAGGCTGCCAGGTAACATTGAGCAGAGTTCCCGGTGCTATACAGTAGGTCCTTGTTATACATTTTATTAATAAATATAGCAGCAAGACACTGCTTTTGTGAAGGTAATGATGACTCAGCATTGCCAGTCTAGAGACCCCTGGGAGCTCACATCCTCCTGTACCTGCCCACAGCCCTGACACTTCTGATGAGCTGCTGCTTCCAGCCCTCCAGTCTCTCCCTCAGCCCCTGTCACTCTCCTCTTCCCGCTGTGTCCTTTTGCATTTCTGCTTCTGCCTGCCTCCAGACTCTCTGCTTTCCCCAGTCCAGCAAACACTACAATGTATTCCCGGCATTCCTGACCTGGCAGGGTCAAATGAGTGTGGGCAAAGCTACAGATGCCTTTCTCTGCTGGGGTCACAAGGTGCATGGACATACCAAGGCTCTGAGAAATCCTGCTCTAAAGAAACATTCAGTTTGAGTGAACTCAGACACTTACTTGACCAGAGACCCCTCTGTTTTGAGTGGAGAGTGAATCTTTCAAGAACTGAGGAATTAGGGTTTATGGATAGAATACACCCCTCTGCCATCCTCTACACCTGCACTGTCCAATACAGTACCCATTAGCAACATATGACTACTCAGCACTTGAACCTTGGCCAGTCCAAATAGAGAAGTGCCATAAATGTGAAATATACAACAGACTTTAAAGACCCAGTACAAACATCCCAGAATGTAAAATAATGCATCAGTACAGAAATTGTTACCCCAATTACATATTGAAATGATAATATTTTGGATAATGCTGGGTTAAGTAAAATTAATTATTAAAATTAATTCCATCTGTTTCTTTTTACTTTTTAAAATGTAGCTGCTGGAAACTTTTAAATTACATATGGGCTTGTATTTGTGACTTACATTATATTTATATCGAACAGCTCAAGCCAGCCGCTACATTTTTTTATCAGGTTTCCTCCCTGATGGAAATGTTCAATGGCTGCTGTTTTTTGCAGAATGAGGTCCTAACTCTGGGGGAGCACAAGGCTCTGGAGTCTCCTGAATCCAGCAGCCGCCTGCCTCTGAGCGTGCCGCCCACCTTCTGGCCACCCTGGCCTGTGTTCAGTCCTCATGATGAGCTGCACACACTGCCCATGGCTTGGCTGTTTCTGCTTCTGTCCTGGGCTCTGTCCACAGCCCGTCTCCACACAGAAGCCATCTCATTACCCCTTCAGGGTACAACTCACATGATCCTACTCTGGGGAAACCTCTCCCATCCCCTGTCCCACTTGCTCCCACACTGCCTCTCCTTCATGTTTCCGAGTTTGCATCTATATTATAATACTTCACATAACGTGACTTGTAGTTCATTTGTATACAGTTCGTATGGCCATCTTTCCCAGTGGAGGTTAGGGACTGTGTCTGACACAGTTTATAATATAACACTTAGAATTGCTTTTGCCCATGGAGGTTGGAAGACTATTTTGTCATCTCCAGACCCATTTCTCGTCTTTCCCCTGCTCTGCTCTGTACTTTTGTCTTACTGAAGCACATCTCTTAATGGTTCCTTTAGTCACATCTATTAGTGGTAAATACTTTCAAATTTTGCCTGAAAATGCCTTTACCTCCCCCCCTGTCATGAATAGTATAATTAAAATTCTAGTTTGACAGTTATTTTTTCTTTAACACTCCCTATCGTTGGGTTGAGTTGTGTGTAGTCAAGTCTGACTGCTGTTCCTGTGTAGTTATTCTGCTCTTTCTTGCTTACTATTTTCAACATATTTTTTTTCCTTTGGTGTTTTGCAGTCTAGGTATGGGTTTATTTTTTCCCAAAAGTCATTGTTATTCCTAAATCTGTGGAGTCACATCTTTCATCAATTCTAGAAAATTCTCAACCTCTAAACAGGCCAAACTCTAAGGCTACTTTTGTAAGCTCCTTTCTTACTTGGCTTCTGCCTGGATTTGGTTAATGAGAGGAGGCTCCATCCGGATACTGAAGACTATTAGGGTAGACTAGGAAAAGAATCCTCCTGCCACACAGTGAGATGACAAGGAAGCATTTAGTCCCCGCTGGGTAAAGAACAGAAATGCCTGGGCTGCATCTCACATAAATTTGGAGTTCAAGAACTCCTAAACTGATGAATTAACACAAAAATTAGTT